AATTGTATATGTCATCTATGGGTTTTAGCTATTATTAAGCTAATTCACTTGCTTTGTTAATCTTTCATGTTGCCTTCAAAACTGTAGTAAACCAATCAATAAAACATCCTCTGAAAATGAGACGATCTCATTGCTAAATTCTCTTTCACAACTGACAAGATATCTTTGGTTAACATTACATATACAAAGCTTCAGAACATGGTTATTAGCTTTAATATTCTTGACCTACATTATACCTCAAATAAGGTAAATTTTCAGCTCCTTGGGTAAGTGCTCCTCTGCAATTGTGTTTTAAAATAATAAAACACATTCCATCTCTAAAATAATAAAACATATTCCATCTCTAAATTGTTGTAATCCCAGATAAAGCCTATCCTGCTATTTTCCTTTAAGTTTTCTTTCTAGTTTATACAAATTCGTTTTAAGTTCTGTTGAACAGATGCAAGTATAATAGCAACTGATACGGGGAGGCACTTCAATGTGATAATCTGCAGATATGATCTTGATTTAAATGGGACAACATCAGAACATACAGAGTAAATTTAATTGTTCTACCTTGATTGAACACAATCAGAATGCAGACACTTGTTATTCTTTTGTATTTGCTTCCCAGGAGGTTAGGAATGTAGCTTCTGTCACTATAGGGTTCTACTTGAGAGAAGGTAAAAACATTTTTCCCTAAGGAGAAAGCAAAAGCAGGTGTATCATACACTCGCCTGCACTGTTGCAAACGCGTGCATAGCACGAACTACAACAAATGAAACATTCCATCATTTTAATGAATTGAAATACATTGTGCACATATGGATGAAAGACAAAACCTGTAATATTCCACCAAGGTGTGAAAATATAGTACCACTTGGGAGAATAAAAACTTTGAAGATACGTCTTTCTATCTCCAATCCTTACATCCAGTTTGTTTACCCAGATTTCACCTATTTCTGTGACAGATAGGCCCCTTTTTCTTCTTGCCTCCACCATTTCATCCCACTCATTTCTAGGCCCAGCATCCTCACCCTGCCACACTGCCTCCTGTTACACATCTCCTCCATATATGGTGCCCATGGTTTTCTGTTCCTCAGTTCCCTGCTCAGTTCTGCATCTCGTTCTTTCTAGTGAGTCTATCCAAGCTTCCTTCTTATCCTAGTTCCCAGAGGAAACACTCTTCACTTGTCTGCCTTTGACCTGTGTCTTCATTCTCCTCCCTTCCTACATGTACGGCTCTTGTTTTCAAATCAGACAAATTCTCATTTTTTACTTGCTTGGTACTAGCAAAGGGTGAAGGATGGTCACCCCAGAGTCCAATCCTTGTTCCAAACATGGAAAGAAGTCTACACATACTGAAAGGCAAAGTGACCTGCATTATTAACAATAGCAATGTTTAATATTTTAATAATAAAGGGTTTATTTCCACGGTTGTTCAACCATCCCCCATGAAGACACTCTATGGAAGGAATAGTTTACACATGAACTGTTATCACAGACAGCATACTCATGTTCAAGGTTGGGTTGGATGGGGCTTTAAGCAACCTGGTTTAGTGGAAGGTGTCTGTGCCTGCAGCAGGGTGGTTGGAACTACAGGATCTTCAAGGTTCCTTACAACCCAAACTGTTCTACGAACCTGATATTTGACTTAAAATAACTAAAAAAATGCACCCAACACCACTGTATATGATTTAGCATCTTTGTAATTCATTGCATTCACCCAAAAACAAAAAGCAGAAGGAAATAAAACTCTCTTGCTTCAGTCCTAGCAATAACTCAGCCAGCAAACTTTACTGCAAATGTTTGTGTATATAACTCCTGTGAAAACTGCTTAGATGTCCACTATGCACAGGAAAAAGGAAATAAGCCATATGTCAACAGATCAAAGAGCACACCAGAGCAGTGAATAAAGTTCACACCACAAATGAAAATGAAGTAGTAAAATTTATGTTAAGTGATTTCCACTGGTGTTTAATACAAATTTGGGGGTTGTTATTTATAAATTTTTAGTCATTATTAAACAGCAGAATCAGGAGATTAGCTGAGCAGTTTCCAAGACAACAAACTTTTCCCTAGTGTTGCTAGAGTTTCTGCTGTCTCCTCATCAGACCTGCAGTTTGGTTGTCCTTCAGAGTCTGTAGATTTGTAGATATGGCACAAGCATTTGCCTTGGTTTTGCTGGGAAAAAATCCCAACATTTTTTTATATGAGCTAATTGTTGTTGACTAGATACTTCAAAATTAGTGTAGGAAAAAAGGTTGGTACCTTTCTTTACTTTATAGCTGTCTTGCACTTGTTTCAGAACTAAGAAAGGTCTAGACCAATAAGTACCCTTCTCAAGTGGCCATGCACATAAATGTAATACAATACCAGTGGAGATGGGTAAAAAGTACAAACTATTGAGAAAGCAAGCCAAAGCCAATGAAGCCAAAGCTCAATTCTAACAAGATTACCTTTCTCTAATTGCCATTAGGAAGTCATGCTGAAAAAAAAAAATCTGAAGAAAATTTGCAATTATAAATTAAAATGTTAAGTATTTATAGAATGTGTACTTCTATAAGTTAATTTTAGGTACATATCTGAGTAAAGAAATAACTTCAGATGTTAAAAAGTGAAACTTAAAGCCTTTTTCTACACTGGGTACACTTTGCCTGCAATAAACTAATCTCTTTTTTCCTCTAGGAATTAATTAACAATAAGACATTTTAAACTGCATTTCCTATATAGTTTTCTGCATCTTTTCTTTCTTTTGACAAGACTGTAATATTAGTTTTCCCAATTAATACAGAAAATTTGAAAGTATTTTAAAAATATGTCCTTGATTAAGTTTTTTGAAAAGTCGTACTCAGATTCAGAAGTTCTTATTGGGAATGATGTCTTTTTCCGTTTCCACTCCCCTTCAATGAATCTTACAACTGTTCAGACAGCGGATATTCTACACTTATAAATAGTAGCTGATCTTATTACTCCTAAAGCAGGCACCATTACTCTCAAAGAGACAGCCAATACTTATGTTGCAAATTGTGGAAGAGAAACAGTTTTGCTTAAGGCCAATCAAAATTCAAGTTTTGGTTTCTTCTGATGTCACATTCTTGTTAAACTAACAACATAGCATATTAAAGCCTTGCCAGAATCAACATATCCTTGTGAGTGCCAAAGCAAATATTACTTTAGCCTCTACACATGGAAAATCTACGTCACATACATGAGTCAGACTGCATGATGCTGAAGAGCTTATCATCACCCCCCTGGAAAATTCTACAAGTGAAAATGATTTGTACTATACTAAGAGCTCTGTATATTCAGAAGTCACAACTATTAAACAGAGTAGCAACATAAATAAAATATAAGCAGATATTTATTTGTATTTCCTATGAAGACACTACAGTCTTTTAAGACTTAGGGTTTAAGCTGTGTTTTAACCTTTGATTTATACCACAAGAGTTTTATTGCAGGTTACAACAATGCCATTGCTAACCAAAGCTTCCCAAATTTCTTAATTCATAAAACCGTGTCTTACGGGAGTTTAGAATACACCAAAGATGCAGGATCAGATCCTACCCTCCAACTCCCTTTATTGTACCTTATTCTTGAAACAGATCTGGATTCATGGAAATTAAGCAGGTCTCTCATCTTTGTTAAAGACGATGAAGCTACTTGGTATCCACATTTGGATAACGGGTTTTTCTACAAGACAATCAGCTGCTAAGCTAAGTAGAACTAACAACTTGCAAAGAAAAAAAAAAATCAACAGTTGTCAGCTGTGACATGTTTACCCTCCAGACTAAAACAAAAGCAAGAAAAGACTTTGAGAGTGTCACTGTATTAATGGCATTCAAAGCCGCATGTTATCCATACCCTTCTTGAAATAAGAGATTTATTTTATTCATTCACCTGTTTCTTGTCTCCTCTCCTCCTTGTGGCTAAGTGATTTAAATTTACATTTAAATAGCAGAAGTGGCATCTTTAACTACTAGCTCAACAGCCTCAGTATCACGTTCTGCATTTGAAAACAGTGTTTGCATTTTGTTTTTCTTCTTAAAAGCATTTGAAGTACTAGTGTAGTCCTGTCCTTTACTGTATCTCCACCTGGTCAATACAAAGAAAACATTGTGTTTTCTTTCTAATATTCAATCCCTATCCGTAAACAACAAAAATATCTCAGCTGCCAGGTAGATTACCATTTTAGTGTGATTACATTACCCCATAACAATAATAATAAAATGTACTCTGGACTACTGTTTTTTGCTCCTCCTTCTAGCATCTCTAACATATCATAACAACAACGTTTGTATTTATCCAGACAAATATTAATGATTTTTTTCAGCACTGTTTTGGCATTCTGGTAATTCTTTTCTACATGAAACATGTTCAGTTTACAACCTACGCACTTCTGAGTATAATATATGCGTCACTAAGGTGTTACAGAAAGTTGAATTTGGCATGTTCCTCATGAGCATGTAGATGAAAAGTGGACACTTCAGCGGCATAAGTCAGTCACAGAGAAGGACACCAATCACTGACTAGTCTGATACATGTGCGTGTCATATGCAGTTAGTGTGGAGTGATAACTTACATGCAAATCAGAAAGAGATTTTGTCTTCATTATTTACACACCAAGAAATTTCCCCCCAAAGAGGAAATACAATTGCAAGACACACAGTGGTTAAAAAAGACATGACTTAGAAACTGACACAGTGCAGCCTGTAGTAACAGTGAGAAGAGATTCTCTAAATCTCTGAAACAATCATGCTTCAGTCTAAAACTTCTTACATATTGTGAATTTCAACAGGAATGAGATATATACTTACTGGCTATTCCTATTCAAGGAAGTAGAATAGTGCATATAAAGCAGAAGTGAGAAATGGCCATCCCCCCACCACCCCGTTCCCCAGATCTTTCTCACACGTATTTATTTACAAAGAAAAGAAAGTTAGGGAAAAGGTTTTCATTTTCAGTTCAATATATTTATCCTTTTCAGTGGCTAACACAACGTTTACTGGAAATATACGTACTCCATGTTGCTTCAGTTTCTGGAGTTCATTTCTGTATTACATTTCTAGAGTGCAATTATTTATAAGGGTGCCTTTTGGTGGTTTCTTCAGGATTATGCAGAGACAGTAACGGTTTCTGGAACTTGCTTTGTATCCAAACTCGCTGCATTTTCACTTTTTTCTTCCTGTTTACTTGTAACCGCCGATCAACTAAATTCTGTACTTCAGTTAATCCAGCCAAGCTGAACATGTTCCATACCTCATCTATTTTTTCATAAGAAGAATTATTGTAATTAAAAAAAAAAAAAAAAAGGTCATTTTTAGAATGTAGCAATTAACAACCTTCAGTTCAACCGAAGATGGAACTAAATCTGTTTTGCAATTTGAAAGATCAAGGACACTGTCTCTATGAAGTCTTTTATTAGAAATTCATTCTCACAGCTCTTGATTTATATTGCAGTAAAAATTCTTATATTGAGGTCCAAACCACATTGGTTATTACTCATGGCATCCATAGATACCCTTTCTTCAGAAGGTTCAATATGCCAGGGTTGAGTAAACAAATGCATGACATTTGGTTACTGTTCACCTATTATCCAGAAAAAGTTATTGCACCTGCCAAATGACAATCCAGACTTTTATGCCTTATATATATACATGTATATATAGCTATACATACATATATATGTGTGTGTATATATACACACACACACACATATATATATGTAATTAGATCCTTCTTGTCAGTCATCATTGGAAAACCTTAAGGTTCTTTGTCTTGAGGAAACATGAAACAAGACATTTAAAAACTGAGAAGGCTCTTTAAATTCAAGTGATTTTCTATATATATCCCAGATCTTTCTTCTCACTTCTAAAATTACTAAGGCTGGGATAAATCCTGATGCATCTCTATGGTTTACAGTGTAGGACACAGAGGGTAAAAAGAAGGTTAAGCTGTCTGCCAGCTGAACCAAGTGAGCGGACAGGCAAAGAGCAATAATATCCATAAGCAGGAACTGAAGTTTAGCTCCTGTATGAAGAGCAGCCTCACAGTTCAGATTCACCAACATGGCAAAACAAAACATCAGAGCACTGCTACAAACTCTCTTTCTAAGCATGTTTATCTCGATTTTAAGAGAGAAATCATGTACGTATTTAAATAACAAAATTTGAGCATACCGTTAGACACAGGAGGCTCAGATAAAGAGAAATTTCCAGTGACGTCTTTAGGCAATCTTGCAGGACCCCAAACGCAACAAGTGTACACATAAAGGAAATTATTTTCTTATGAAAGTCAGCTTCAGTCTTTTTAAAAGTAGAGAATTAAAAAAGCCAATAAAACCTTCCTTAAATTTTTGTTTAAAGACAAGTTTTTATAATTCAGTCTTGAGAGAAATTTAACCCTTTCTATGAAACTGTAACTTTCCATACCTTTGGTAAAGAAATACACTCTGGTTCCATCTCCTCGTACATAAAAATTTTCTGACAAGCAATGACCTAAGAAATTGGGACAGCAATGAAAGAGGACATGTCACTTTTTTTCTTCCCAAAAAGGGTTAAAATAAACAATGAACTACAAAGCCATTCAGGACTTACCTTTTTTAAACCGAAGTTGAGCTGTATCGTATCTTCCATAGTCTCGAAATAACAACATTCCTCCAGGTTTCAGTAGCTTAGCCAACCTATTTACAACCCCTTGCATCCTTAGAAAATAGACGGGATACTGGTGACATTTGCAAACATAAAGCAACCAAGTGTGCTGCCACAGACAGAAAAGGCAGCACCACCTAAGAATAAGAGACACTTCAAGATGGGTAGTCGTGCCCAGAATTACAGACTTGGCCTATATAAACTTAAGTTTTGTGCACAAAAATGTACATGCACAAAAAGTGAAAGTGCTTTGAGGAATCTCATCTAGCAGAACTAGAAGGTATTAATTATACAGCTTGAAGAAAGTTTAATACCTTCCAATTCTGCAACCAAATCTTAGAGGTGCCTTCTAGCAGAACTGAAGTGTGTTAAAAATTTACTACAAGAGTAGCAATTATCAAAAACTAAGCACAACAGCCTGAAGAGAAATCACTAAGTAACAATTTTCTGAACATAAATGTGTCCTTCTCACATATACTTTCCATCTTTCCCAAGTATTTAAGTTCTACATCACAGTTCCCTTCATTTTCTTTTTCATTTCTCAAAGTTTCCAGAAAAAACGTATACTGAGCAAGGTGAATCTGGATCACATTTTCCTTTATGCAGTTATTTTAATTCTACAAGATGGCAGTAATAGACTAACACAACTTTGGAATGTGGGTCTCACAACACAGATAATTACACGGAAATCTTTATGTGTGTATACACACACATGCACACAGAAGCTTCCATGTCAGCCCTGAGGAGAAAAAAAACAACCAACAAACCACAAAAAACATCAAACACATTCTTAAAAGACTCAGAGGAAAAGACATACAGAAATTCTGACAGAACACCAGAATACTGCTTCTACAGGCAAAGTGATTGACTGAATGAAACACTTATTTTCCAATTTCTTCCTGGCAGCATCATGGCAGTCACAGAAATCTGAAGTCTACTGCTTGAATTGTTTCTGAAATCTGGACCCTGGCTTTGCTTGACTTGTGCTCATCTCTGAACAAACAGGAAGGAGCAGTATCATATATGGGAAAGGTTTTCTGTAAAGCTAATCATTAGTAACTTAGGCAGAGAAACAATTCTCAGACTTAGGCAAATACTGTTCTGTTTGCCAAGCCCATTTTAATGACATTCTTAGTGTAGTAAATGTATCATCACACAAACAGCATGTATTTCCCTTCATATAATCCAGTTAAAGGAAGAGTCAAGTAGTTTAACTTATGCCCTCTTTTACGTTTTTCCCATTAAAAAAGGGCATTTTCACAATCAGCCAGCCTCAACAGTCATCAAATTTGGTTCATTAGACATTGAGAGGCATTAGCAAAGGCTAACCTTACCCAACATAACAGTATACATGAAAATTAGATTAAATTTTCTTAATCCAAACAAGTTAAAAAATTTTGGATGTATTTTGATTTAAAAGGACTGCATGTAAGCATTTGTATGTGGCTAAATCAGCAACCTAAGTCTATATCAACATATTGTAAGCTGTTAAGTCATGAATGGTTGGTTTTGATCACTAAAAATAACTTCCTTCTAGAAGGCTAGTCTGGTTTTCAATTTGCAGGGTTTTTGAATCCCTCACTTCTAATAGGATTGTTTTTTAGTTACAATATACTCCTTGTATTTTGATGGAGACTGGAGACTCACTAATGAATTAGCCTGATCGGCTTTTCTCTTGAAGCCTGAAAATGGAAAACAGCATTTAAAATACCTTGTTTTACACATATTGTAGCTTACTGAGTAATAAATTAAAGATTCATCATCTTCTTTTGCTATTCTTGAAAACCTCCAGTGAAAAGAGAGATTTAACCCATTTGCTTTGCCCTTTAGTCTTCATTTACCTGTCAGGATGAATAGTAGAGAGCACAAAGACAAGGAGAATGACATCCAGGATCTCATCTGGAAAAGGATAGGGTAAAGCATCATCACACACATCATGAACAAAGGCAGAACACCAGGCTGAATTGTAGGACGAATGTGACTGTCAGGAAAAAGATGAAAAGGGGCACAGAGAGAACAGTAGTAGTTAATACGTTTACTGTGACTCAAGAAACTTTTTTTCTTCAATTATTCCGCATTGTAAAACATCTCATATAAAAGCCTATTCTGTCCGGTATCTTACTCAAGCTGAGAAGCAAGCTCACTGATGGTATTCATTCCTCTCTGCATACAGTAAGACTTTGTTCTTTGGAATATTGAAAACTTCAGTTAAAAGTTGTCAAAGCCATCACATTCTTTTTCATGAAGACGGCTTCCTGGCAGCCTCCTGAATTACAGGCTTGTAAGGTACTCTAAAGTGAGCCTATGAATTACCTTTACCAGCTCCACTGCTCCTGAAGCAAAATCACAACAGTATAGAAAGGTTCCAGGTGTATTGCTAGGAAAACAAAACCAACATCAGTTAAAAAATTATTATTGTAAAAGATGAAAGTCTACATCAGTGTTCGTGGAACTACAGAGGGCCCTTTGGGGTTCTCCACAGGTTTGATCGAGCATGCTTTATTGATGTCTAGCACACGGAAAGCCACAGAGGTTGTAATGAACCAACAGGGCAGACAAATTTGTAAGAATACCAACAGGCAGTTAGTATAAAAAGAATTAGAGCCTTGTCAGGGAGGAAGCAAAAAGGAAAAGAAAGAAGGTCACAGAGGGCTGTCAGGACTGATGACAATGTCCTGGTGTTGTAATGCAAAACTGCACGTTAATAGGTCACGTTTTCTTACAGAAGTGCTGCATTAAGTCTCTATCATCAGCCCATGCATGCAGTTTAATTAGCAGTATGATTTGGGCAGGGGTGGGGTATTGCAAAAATCATCCAGTTCTGTAGATGTTTGGGTTTCCATGTGTCATGTCACTGTGCTTTTGATTAGATTAAGTAGTTTTGGTTGTTTCCCTCCATTATCCCTTTTGTTTTGTAAGCCAGGATGAATAAGAATTTCCTGTAGCACTGCTTTTTCTTCCCTTCCCATCTAAGACTAAGCCAGCTGCAAATTTCCTTGTACCATTCATCAGATAATAGTAATTCTAGGAAGAGGGTTTTTTCACCTCTGAAAAATTCATTTAATATAAACTGAGCAAGACACTCAAAACCCACTGAGGGATGACCTCATGATCAACTTGCGATCAATTAATTTCTTTTAAAAACATATTTGAGATTTTGGACGGATGGCTTCTTTAGAAGGGAATCAATAAACTGTGCCAGTGCCTGTAAGGTCTCACAGCTGAGTCAGTGACTTCTCCAAGGGCTCAACAGGAGAACAATTCTGGAACAAAACATACTCCGTTCTCACTGCTGAGCAACAATTTTATCAGCTCTGGGCCCATCATGAGAATTGATGAGTTTAGATATTTATTACAGATAAGGAGAAGCAGCCAGGCTCTGGACCCAGCCAGTCCCTTGGGAAAGGTTATGCTAATTTCCTAGTTGACTTCTTAGAATGTTGTGTTTTTTTGTTTTTTTGTTTTTTTTTTTTTAAGAGTAGAATAGCAGCTATGTAGAAAGTCAACCTAAAACAAACACACAGCTTGATCTGGATGGTGTTCTCATGACACATTGCATTAAAAAGCAGCAACTTAAATTTTAAATCTGCTTTCTCCTGTCTCCCTTAAAAGTTACATTACAAACCTAAGTGAAAAATTTTTTTGTAGCCAGGGTACACTTATGCTTGACATTGGCTTCTTTTTATATGCACACAGAAGACAATTTCTGTATAATTAAATTCAGAGTAAAAGCAAGTGTTCTATAAAGCCAGGCCTACTAAAAGGTAAGAGATGTTTCCACTCAGTCATATACAAGACAAATGAGGTAGTTGTTCAGTGTATCAACCAATGTGACTGACTGAAGGATTTGCATAAGAATAGAGATCACCAGGAAAAATACCCAATGAGTAGATTCTTAATTATCAGAAATGCCAATCTATGACTAATGCCTCCTGTGAGGAAAACATAAAAGTTTGTCTCATCTCTTCTAATACAGCTACAGGGTATCTTTTCCTACATAGTGCTACTTTTCAAAGTTTTCATATGAAACAGGGCTCCCCTTTCTTTACATGCTGTCTAAAGTAAAGCATTTCCTGTGGGATGAAGACGCATTGCTAACACAGGTTTCATGGATAACCCTGGTGCATCACTTGATTCCTCCTGCTGCGTTTCCACATCTGCAAAACGGAGTATTTTTGCATAGTGGTGATACTAGCAATAAAAATTCAGTTACAGAATAATGAATTGTGCTGTACTCAAGCTCTTGAAGGCATGACTAAAAAGAAATCTATTTCAACCCTTGATACATACACAGTCATTCCAATAAAACTCTCCTGCCTACATGGATGGGAAGACAAGCTGTCATAACAGCTTTTTCCAAAACTGGAAGCTAAGTGGATTAAGATGTTTCAATGAATTAAGTAACGCAATACAGGACTTGTGCCTTCCCTGACACTAAAACCTGAGGCAATGTGACAAAGGACACCAGCCAATTCAGAAACAACATGACTTCTTTCCCGTAGATCACATGCCATTATCTACCGTCTCTGATTTTGGCCTTTTTAAGAGATATCCAGTAGCTTTACAATGACATGTAAGACAAGAGAATATTTTGCCTGTCTGAGATTAACTACAAGAATTCAGCCTGAATGAACCTGAAGACAAAACTCTGTCAGTGGATACGGTCTCCCCAAGACTAGGGTTAAGCAATAGGAGAAGTATCCTGTATATGATGCTACGAACATTATCTGTGGTCTGGACAGAGTAATAATTTCAGGGTTGTAAAATGATCCACTCAACACTTTCTGCAGCACTGGTCTAGCACCAAAATTTAGGAGAAAATGAACAAGATGAGAATACAACTCTCATATTTGAAAATCCAACACTACATACCATAGAACTTCCAAAATAGGAAAGACACTGTTTCCAGCTCCACAACCAACCTAAAACCAGAAGAGAAACAAAGTTAAAATAAATGAGCAAATAAAACCTTTTTTGTTATTTTTGTCTTAAATTAGTTGGCATGTAGGACTCATTAAAGTTGAAGGTATGCTGGACAGAAAAGGTTTAAACAGTTCATACCACAGTTCTCAAATAATTTACATGATCATGTTTCTCCTCAATGTCTTTCTAAAGTTGAGAGAATCTGTCCAATTTCACCATTTGGCAAGAACATGTTGAGTACTTGCACTTTTAGACAAAGCAATATAAGTTTCCTTAGGAAACCAGAAACCCAACTTCCAATGACAATGGAATCTCATTATCTAGTCCTGTTGTATTTGGGAGAAACTTTAAAGGAAAAAGAAGGTCCACATGCTAGGTTTCTGTGAAAGTTTCTGCCATAAATGAATGTCATATGTTAAACACTAAATGCTCACTGTCTTGATACTTACTAAGCATGTTTATTAGATTTTTGAGCAATTAAGTGTAGCTCTATATGAAGAGTAGAACTTTTGCAGGGCATTACCTCTAATATTCTGTAAGTGGCATCACTACCAGGGAAAGATTCTAGCCTGCCAAGTTCTTCTCCACAGTTTTTACCCTGAGGATTTTCACTAGGCGTTTCTGCTTGGGTTTTATTATATACATATCCTTGTACAGCAGTAGAACCACCTCCATAATTTTTCTTCCAGTATTTTTCTCCTTCATCAAACATTTCATTTTTGTGTGAAAACCTGTTGGTACTATTTATTTTTCTGTGTTCTGAAGATCTTTCTTCTCTCCTCAATTCTTGTCTCTTTTCTTCTGGAAGAATTTCTGGAAATTCCAGAAATAGCCAATTACGATCCTTGAAGAAGTTATTTTTATGAGTCTTGTAAAATTCATTCCAATATTTACTGGCTTCTCTTTCATATTTATCTGAAATTAAAAGAGAACAAGACCTTGGTGAATATGAGCTTAGCTACAAAATAAAGCAACATGGAATTTAGACCTCAAATATACATAAAAATCCATAGTTCCACAGATTGTACTTTTAAATTAAAACATACAGATTTTGGATTTACCTTAATCTGTGCTCAGAATTATTCCTATGAAGGTTTAATTACATTTTATGTCACTTAGGAAGGGGCAGACAGGCTTTCTGCATCACTTTTTCAATATAGTGACATACAGCAGCCCCAAAACATGCAATCTCAAGATTCTTAGACAAACTTTTGTTTGTCTCACATTATAAAAGCAATGCATCCTTTCAATTATTTAAGAAATACTAAATGGAAATTAATTTTATATTTTAGGAAATTCTGTGATCAATTAAAAATTTGTTGGCAGCTGATCACCTCTTAACAAGCCCCATCAACCAGAAATCCAGTTCTGTGAACATGAGCGATAGATGCTCCTGCATAGCACGTAGACAGTAATTCATGCTTAACCATTCAACAAGACAGTCAGAAGGAACATACTGGCTTTCTTGCTTTCAAAACACTTCAGAGTTTTACAATAGAGCTTTGTGCTAACTTCTAATTTGCAAAAGATTCTAACTGAATGTTAGAATGTAAAAGAATAGGACAGGGAGGGATTTCACTCAGTCAGGGAATTCAGACCCCTTCTGCACAAAGATCTCTCCAACTTATTCTTAAAATACCACCTTTCATATAGATTTAACAACTCTCTTCAGTAATATGTTACAGTCCTTAACTTTCAATGCAGTTAGAAATCTTTTGCACTACCTAACTCTAATTTCTGTATTGTAATTAGGTCCAGCAATTCTTGTCCCATTAACCAAGTAGATAAAGCAGAGATTACTCACTTTTCTCTTTGTGACACCTATTTACCATATTTGAAGTGTTTTACTGTGTCTCCTAGTAAACGTCTTTTCTAGAAACCTAACTCTCTTCTTCTCTCAATACAACTCACAATTTTTAGACTTTTAGAAATTTTTATTTTTCCTTTCTATATTCTTTCCAGCTGATTTACTACTTTTCAGTGCTGTATTCTGGTAAATGCATTATCAATGCAGAGCAAAAGGAGTATTTTACAAGGCTCACAGGCTGTAATCCTGTTTATAACTCCCAGCTTGCCATTTTGCAACAGCATGACACTGCTGATTCAGCTAGTGATTCACCACAACCCTCAGATCTTCTTCTGCAAAATGACTACCTAGCCAATTGTTCCAGAGCCTAGTATTTTTTCAAGGAATTATTCCGAAGCGCAGTATTCTACATTTATTTTTAGCAAGCTTACATATTTCAAATTCTTTTTTCCCCCCATTTGTCCAGATCTTTCTGAATCTTAATCCTGTTCTTCACCATACTTGAAACATCACTTAATATCATCTTCAAGACTCCGATTTCCTGAAGTCACTCATGAAAATACCAAGCAGAACTGGACACAGAATAAAACAGTCCTCACCCAGCACAGCCTTCTGTTCTGAAAGGATCTCTCTAGGCATTCACTCACCCAAAAGCAGTTTCATTAGCTCTCGCTTGCCTAACTTGCTTATGAAAATGTCAAACAAAGCAAGTCAGAAGCCTGACTAAGGATAAACTTCAGGACGTCTGCTGTTTTTCCCTTATCCCCAGGGCTTGTAACCTTCTCCAAGAAGGAAATTAGCTTGATTTTACATGATTTATTCTTGAAAAAATATTTGTTGGCCAGTATTCATCTCCTTTGTTCTTTCAAACCCAGTGTCTGCAAGCTCTGGATGTACTCTTCCAGTATTTTTCCAGGAACTGAAACTAATTATCTGACTCTTCTTTTTTTCCCACCTCCCTTCTTAAAAAAAGTAAATATTCTCTTTTCTGCTTTTCCAGTCATCCATGTACTCTATGGATGTACTTTGTAACCTGTTCTTTCTCAGTTCCAGAACAAGATCTTTCCTCCTTCTTACCAGCACTAATTGTGCTAGCCACTGGACTGCAGCTAACCCTTTCAAAGGCAGGCTGATAAAAAGATAAGAATTACAGCTTTTTCAATGTCTCTTTTGTTGATGGTTTTCCCTTCCTTATTCCCCCTAAGTACCAAACTAAATCTTTTTTCTTGGGTTTCTTCCCCCTCATTCCCAAAGCATTTACAAAACTATCTTGTTACCCCTGACATCTCTTGCAAAGTGTAGATCATAAAATGTGTTGCCTTTTTTATTTTGTCCCCACTCACACTGACCCATTAATTTTTTCAATAAAACATGCACGGAGTAAATATATGGTGCATTTCTCCTACTACTCTCATTTAAATCTTAACATATTATTTCCCAAGAATTATCATTAGAGGCACAGAGAGGCAGTAGGAAGTGGGAAGGAGGTGGCAGTATGCCTTGTCCTAGAAATCTGCATAATGTTTTAAAATTAACATTTAATACATCCAATTGTATTATTAAAGGGCAAGACCCGGCCATGCAGAGTAATTGTACAGACTTGTTATAATGTAAGTTCATTTTTATAATGTAAGTTCAGTTGATTGAGGTCGTATATATCAGATTTCAGCAGTGTAAGTTGCACATTCATAGAGTGTTCAACTTCAGTATAAAAACAAAACCCCTTTCCAGTCAAAAGGTTTTTAAATCATTATCACCCCTTGTTACTGTCATTACTTTTCTATAAGTCTGCTCAGACCCCCTGTACTTAAATTCACATCAAGTTTTCCAGATTTCAGAAATGAAAGAAAGCAACACCAAAAGTCAGCCTTTCAAACTGTATTAGTATGGAATCACATGGGTTCATGTGAAAGAACACTTCACTTTGCATTGTTTCACTGGTCATTCCTGCACCACTGTGTAACAGCTATGCATGCAGTATTATTATCATCACATTTTTGCTTCATTTTGTATATTTAAGTAGTCTACCTACTAAATTTTCCAAAGCATGTAGAAATGACAAAACTAAAAAACATATAAACTTACAAGTAAAAAAAAAAAAAATCCCTTACTTTGTCAATTGATGTTTCTCCTTAACAGAATCTTCCAACACTAGCAAGCATGCCTGAGAAGAAACTAGACACGCTAATCAGTAAACCAAATTCCTAAAAGTAGTGTCATGAGTTCATTCGATTTAACATCTCTTGCCTTAAAAAGGCTCACCAGAACTATTCTATTTTAGTGATATAATAGTACTGTTGAAATCTGTCTTGTCTTTTCCCCCATACTGGAGTTTTCAAGGCCCCAGAAGAACCTGCTCGTTAGCTTCGGTCTAGTTCATTGTTTACACAAATAGGCCAAAATGTACTTCCACTTGCAGAGTGAAGCTGAAGCTTTCTGAAGGAACACTATCAGCACTGCTTACCTATTCAAGTTCTAAACAGAGGGGCATTCATAGGAAATGTCCTTGGATTCTTGTATTTCTTGGCAATAGACAAATGCTTGATTATTCCATTTCTCACCAGCACAAATGAAGTTCTAACTGATTGTAGGTGAAGAATTAAAGGTTCCACGAGCTACATGGTCACACAGCTTACTTTTCAATTATGAGCTCTTTTTCAGCTTTTTATACAAACCAAAGGAAAATATTAGATGTAATTTTCGAAAAACAAACGTACTTAGATAAAAAATGTGAGAGGTAACAGAAAAAGGCAGGCTGACAATCCCAGAGCATTCAAAGTGATGACGGGCACAAATTCAAGGCACGTTCTCAGGTAATTCAAATGAACTCCAACATGTGCCTTAGTTACATCAATGAAACTCAGCACAGGATCATAATGACACTATCTAATTTGACAGATTCAAGACATGCTAAGTAAACTGAGGCTGAGGATATCCAGGTAATTGCTTTCAGAATATCTTTCTAACACTATAACAAATTAAGAATCCAGACTTCTATGATCTTATCAAGTTGATACTGCAGCTTTAGCACACATAACTACCCTGGAGTTTAGTCTATGGTTTAGTTTGAAGTTTGAACCTAGAGCTATCACTCTTCAGAAACTCAGAATTCATTAAATTTCCCTTCTGAAGACAGGCACAAAATTCGTTAATCATTTACAGTGCAAACTCAGCCTTGTATTGAACACCTTCCACACAAAGTGAACACCCTGCCTTCTGAAGCACTCCCAGCTCAGCCTGGTAAAGACAGCAAGGTGGAGCCAGCTGGGACCAGTGCAGCTTCCATGGCACTTTACTGAAATACAGTGCAGTGCACAAACACAAGCTCCCTAAATAGTCTACTGATCATTAAAAACCATTTGAATACTGTACATGGGAACTTTCATCCCCAGCACCATAGCTGGATGTGAAATCATTCCTCTGATTCTGTAAAAGGGTGTAGTAGTTTTAATCTGAAGAACTGCAAAAGGAGTCAGAACAGCAGTACCATACTGATGTACTTGTTTTACATGGAGCCTATTGCTCCCCAGCTGTGAAACTGTTCAAATAAGTAACTGAATTGCTAGAAAAACACACTTCGAGATCTTTTGAGGCAACAAAGGGAAAAAAACCCAAACCAAACAAAAAAATTTAGACAAGAGAATGTAGAAATAAAAAGGGTGTTCCTGGATTCTAAAGCAATTTTAAATGTTTTCATAAACAACATTAAAATAAGAATTTTTATGCCATTAGGAATTTTTTACCTTGGTCTTCCCATTCAACTTTCACAAGTGAGTTTTCTGCTGCTTTTTTCTTGGCACTCTCCTCTTCTTCTTGTGACCACTGCATGTGGTCCCTGAAAAAGGCAGTTGAAGAACCAGCTTTTTCATAGGATTTTCCATAATATTTTTTCCAGGAGAAACAGTATCAAATTAGCTATATTGTCTCAATTTTTTTTTTTTGAGTGCAAGCAATTTCCTCACATTACTAGTGTTTATGATGAAGAACTAAGGTCATTTTGCAAAGAAATCAGCTGTTCCTGAAACAGTGAGCATAACTCACCTATACAAATGGAACCAGTGGAACTGATAAACAGGATTTTACTTATTTGGGGAATAGAGACAGGTAACATTTTAAAAAACCAATGAGACATTCATAAGAAAAGACAAGCAGTGCTACAACGGTTCCAAAGTTTATGCCCTCTCTATTTGTGTAAAGTGGTTAACTAAATGTTATGTTAATCAATTAAACAGTCACAGAACCAAGCCCAGATCTGATACTGACGACTAAACTGCCTTCCCTGCAGATTCTATGTTTGGATCAGGCCATAATGGAAAGTGCCCAAAAATGTGCTGCTGGCCATTTTTAAAAGCCAATCAGCTGTCCCTCCAAATCATCCAGTCTGAACAGATTAAATTCGATAATATAATTCAAGTAATCTATTAAATCCTAATCCTACTGAAATCAACTAACTGAAAGCCCATGACTAAAATTCCATTGGTTACTATGGGAAAAGAGACAAGGTGCCAACTTGGGAAGAGTTGATTGTCTCTAAAAGCTAATGAGCATCTTCCTGTTCTGTACCTGGTGACATATAGGTAATTTAATTCTTAGATCTTCACTGTTCCTCTTTTGTTAATCATGGGAGACTAATTGGTATGTATTTGTCTGCTTGCCTCAGACTTGATTTCCGCATCTCTACTGAAATATTTCTCATTATTGTCCCCAGCACGTTGCCTCTCCCCTTCCTGTATTTGTTCATACACTGAATGTTCCTGTGCAGTGTCACGGCTCTGACAGACGTGCTGCAGCAGAATAAACTGAACGGCCAAAAGCATTACTAGGCAGTCATCCTCTTGGAAAGACTTGCTTCCCTCACTGCTATCACCATTTTTGACCTTGCCTATTCCAGCAAGCTGAAACCAAGGCCTATTCAGATAGCAGGAATACACAGTCAAGCCTTCTGACGGATGACTTGCTGTGGTATAATCTTCAGCCGATCAATTTTAATCTATCATTGTGTGTCTGTCAGAGCCCTTAAGGGTGCCTGAAGCCTTCCATCTTCAATGACCTTTTTTTCCCTTTTTTCCTTCCTTGGAAATTCATAAAGCTGAAGAAGGATCTTTTGGCTCTTTCCTAGAAATTTTTGTATGGTAGATCCCAAACAACATGACTGCAGCAGCACTTCTTGATCAGAATCTACAAAAGAGGAGACATAGCATAGTTCTTATGCAAACTATTTATATAGTTTGGATGCTTCAAATGAGGCAACACAAGCTGGCAGGAACACAGGACACAGGAGAATCCTAAACATGAAAGTGTTTAAATACAGAAGTGTTTTAAGCTGAACACTGACAGCAGCAAAGCAAGATATCCATTTTAACCATACCAGGAGCTGTTAACACGAGTAGGTCTGATACGAGATCAAACAATGCTGCTTTCAGTTCAGCTTATTCAACTTAGTCCTTTTCCACTAACTTGTTTGCTAACACAGGGTTTAATTATCTCTGTGATAATGTGAAAACTATGCCAATTACTAACCTGAATAGAAGCAGACATTTTTTGCTCCCATGTTTAGCCTCATTCATTACTTCTCTCTCAAAATGACAGAAAAGCACCACAGCAAACATCTAAAGCATTAGTTCTCAAATTTAATTTGCTTAGTATGTCTAGCAGCAACGGTAGCAGCTCTTGGCTCTCTGCCAATTCACACACAGACAAAAAGAATGACAAAGCATGAAGTACCAAAGATGACGAGTGGAAAACAAAAGGATATCATCCATCAGTGCTAGAGAAGATGAATATCTTATGCTCATCCTGCATAATCTATTCAGCACTACCACCACTCATCCTAATCCCTCTTATCTCCCTAGTGAGAACCCTTCCAATTCAGTGAGCTTCAGATGCAAGGACCTCCTCAGAGCCACGTTCTGGATTTGTCAAGATCATCACAACTTCCACGCACCTCTGCTTCAAACTCAGTTTCACCTGCTTTCCCTTCTGAGCTACACAGATTCATCTGCAGATCCATTTCTGAACAACACTGTTTCTTTCACTGTCATTTTCACAACCCATCCCAACCACCTGCATCATAGTTTGGTAACTCTATCAGACTGTCACCAAAGGCTAGAAGGAAAAACTGAAGCTACAAATGATCAGTTTTTTGGAAGGAAATTAAAAAAAACCCCAAACAAAACAAACCCAAACAACCAGAAAAACCACCCCCAAATTGAATTTCATTGAGATACAATGATACAGAAAAAAGATGGCCTTTTCCTAAAAGATTTTTTGAAAAGATTTTAAAATCTTTTCGTACCTTGATTACACAGTCTATAAATCAGCATTTACACAGGTGAAGGATTTTTCCACCTAGCAGAAAGCACTAAGCCTGGAATATGTTGAAGAACTACACTGCATGTTTCATACATTTATGAAACACAGAGATTAACTTTACACTCTTAACACAATAATCGGCCAGCTTCCAGCTTTCTTGGCCAAGGAATGCATGGAAGTAGAGTTAAGTCCAAATTTGGCTTTAAGGTGGTAAGTGGCAAGTGTTGGGGACCACGGTTTGGGGACACCTAATTTAGAAAACACTAATAGGTGGCAGATCTAGTTACTAATCAGTTAAGTCCAAATGTAGAGACTAAATAGAGTAACAAAAATACTAGTTTATTAACCAGAGGGCAATTTTCTGCGTCATATTCTTAAGACCCTTTTTTAATCAGAATTTGATTAGAGAACCTCTTGACATAATTTACATTAAAAAGCAAAGTTGACAAATTAACAAATAAAGTGGACTATTAAAAAGAATAGTAATTAAAAAAAACACCAAAAACAAACAACAAACAGCAAGTTGAAACTTCATTTCAGAATACAAGCTTGTCCAGTAACTCCTCTGACAGTTGACAGCAGAGGACACCTCTGAGGAAACTGTAAGAACTGTAGATTAGTTCTATGAAGTAAGCTTAAGGCCTGAAACATGTTGTCTGTTACTTCTATGTTATGTTCCCCATTGGATATTATTAGCCACTTCCACTCCCTTTTTCTAATTTTGCTAAATCCTTGCTATCAAAAATAGTGACACAATTCAAAAATACATTTAAAAATTATGTAGAAAGTAATTTCTTGTACAGTTTCTAAATTCACTACTTTTCATCAAATATTCCTTGGTTTTAAGTTATGAACTACAGGAAGAAAAATTCCTGGTTTTCCCAGTATGTTAGGTAGGTATTCTTCTACTTTCTAGACAGATTTAGATATTCTTCTATCCTACTAACACTTCCTGGATCACTTGCTGTTTTGTATTCATCTCTATTCCATGGTAAAAAATCTTAGCCTTTTCAGTCTAATTTTTCCCACAGTGTTGACCAGCATTCTCCCTCTTTTCTGAGCACCCATTAATCCACAAAAATACCTTTTAGAGATGGGGATGCACTGTTGCAAATCAGGACAATTCTTATTCTTGTTAACATTTACACATTGATGTCTTCTCTGCTATTACAGCGCTGATTTATGTTAAGATTCAATTTACTTTTTTTGATAATTGCACACCATATGGAAATCTCTGTTGAATGATCTGTAACATCTTCTGTACACATTTAGGTGAATACAAGTAATTTACATGTTCCTTTCAAGGTGGTGTCAGTTTTAGACTAGGGCACTAATTCAGGATGTAACCTCATTGTTCCTAACAAGTCACGTTCTGTCATTATGAATAACATGGACTACCTTATTGTTACACTTTCTGTCTCTTAATTAATTACTGATCTATAACAATATTTTGCATTTCATTCCTTGACTGTTTACTCAGTGGCTTTTTATGGAAGTCACTGAGAACTCATAACTGTCCGATTACTTGTGACAACCCCAAGTTTTCTCTAGTGCTCCCTTTACACGCCTTTCCTGGCAGTACCTTGTTTTATACAAACGCACATCATTATTCATCATCGTAAACAGTAGATGAAATTATATGAAAATCAGCCTTGAAGAAACATCTCACCACATGTTATGCTCAAAGACCTTAGAAGGATCAGTTAAAATCCGTGATCCAAGTGGAACAGCTGGTCGTCTATTACTTTGGTGCCTGTGTTGCATCTTGCTTTTCCTCAGACATAAAGCAGGAAGCCTTGTAATGAAATTCATTTTGTTCAGAGACCTGAAAACACATTTAACTCAAATTACAATTTTGCTGTAACTTAATTGTTTATGTCGCTTACATGAGAAACGGGTCAAATAATCAAGCACCAGTATCAGTTTTAGTAATAATAATCTACTACAGTTCAATTTAAATGCTTTTCAGAAAACAGCAACATCCCTTCAGTGCACTGAAAACCCAAATAATCCCAAAGTAGACTGGAAAGAAACCAATTGAAGGACAAATTATTTGTTACCATTTCAAAGTCCTATCAAGTAGGGGAAAGAAAAGCAATACACGGTAAAACAATAACCCAAGTCTGATATTGTACCTTTAGGAAGACAAGAAAGAAATGATCAGTAAAGAAACCACTTGTTCAAGTGGGTACATTCTGTCACTAAGATTGACTTTTTCACCCTACTCATCATCTTCAAAAGATTTCATTCTAGATCTGTGATTCTGGTTTTATGCTTTTAAACAGAAAATGGAAGATTTTTCAGAGTGTAAACATTATGCATCAGAAAACCTTCCAAAATATCCCATCCCTATTTAATGCCCTCTTTGAAATGAATGGCCTTTAATGTTGAATTTCTACCAATGCACATTATGAGGTGACTGAGATTTTTCTATTACATGTATAATTCTGTTATACAGTTATATTATACTTTACTTGGAATTTCTTCATACAATATGAAATTTCAAGTAATGAACGATAACGTGTGTGTAGCTCATACCAGCATTTTTTCTTGGGTTTTTATTTTCTTTGTTTGGTTTTTTTTGCATTTTCTCGTTAATGTAGGCTTTCTATGAGGTGAGTAAAATGAAATACACCTCCTATTACTACTTTTATTCTAATGTGCCTCTGTTCTTTTTTCCTTCAAATGCTCTGCATGACTGTCAAAATTATTCTTAGTCCTATTTTTTTCTGCCTCCTTTTCTTTTTTTTCTGAGTGCTGCTTCTGTAAAAACCACACATACAAATTTAATGCACTGGAAATACAAAATGTAGTTACAAAAGAACAGGTACAAGACACTACTAGAAAACATTCTGTGCAAATTGATTACAAAATTAAGATTTTTATCTTGAGGAAAATAGTACTATTGGATCACAAGTCTTGTATTGCAAATCAAAAATTATTAATTTGTACACATCACTACAAAGACTGGCAAAGGAATTAAATGAATAATTAAATGAATAATTTCTCATTTATGGTGTACTTTTGAATGAGTCATGCTTTCAGCCTACCGGAAAAAAAAAAAGGAAAAAGAATTAAAATTTCTTTTTATTTGTGAAAGATTAAATAAAATGAGGTTTACATTATGGTTGTCAATGCCAAATAAAACCATTGCTAATTTTGGCTAATAAGACTGCAATGTTATTGGGACATGGGGGCACTGCTATACAGAGAAAATAAACCATGTTGTCCTATTAAAAAAATCAGAACTTCTAATGTTATCAAGTTTATTAAGGTTTTCTTTTCTTACATGTGGCTCAGCAACTAAACCAATTCCAGTTTATACTTCAATTACTACAAATTGTTTACACTTTGTATTTTTTAAATATGTATGCATTTTTAATAACACAATGCATAACCATTAACATATATGGGATATAATGAAATAATTATTATGAGACATGAAAATTAAGACATTATGACAATTTCTGCAAAATGTGTAACTTACACAAAGGGAATGTTCTTGAAAACAAAATCAAATAGAAAATCCTCCAAAACCTCAAACTACGATCTGATCTAAAATTATTATAATTTATTTACATAAAAACGCCTGGATAAAGATTCCATTATTACATTGCAAACTGTTTACAAATCCTCTTCCTCCTTCAATCATTCGAAAAGACCTGAGTTAGTATCTTGCATTTCCTGTGCCAGCATTGATATTCACCATGAAATATGATTCAGCTGCTAGGCTAGTCACATAATTTTTCTTGGCTTTCTAAATATCTCAATAAGAACATGAAAAGATGCACAGATGGCAATTATAGTCAGATGACTAAGATGATCTTGCATCAGTAAAATCCAGATATGCAACTCTTTCTATGAAAATGTAATCCTTTGAGTGGTAAATGAACAATCTTAGCTGATAAATTCTTAAAATGCAAGAAGAGTGAGGTAGGTGTGCAAGTTAAATTTACTGTTGCATCCAGAGTTAAATGTGAATGAACTCCTTGGAGACATGCATGTATATCCTTGAGAGTTAAAAGTGATCCACAGAGCGTGAGATAACTGGACAACCTGGCTACTAATAGTTCAAAAAGCATCTAAATTACTTGGAAACCTAAATAACATTTTCAGAGGTAAGTCCTTGCTCAGTTGTTTCTCTAAGTGATTTTTGTTAATGAAACATGCAAACACCCTTTCTTTGTCAGGTAAGATGATCATACCTCAAAGTCATGACAGCAAGAAATGTCTGATAAAATTAGGAGTTATTTCCTTGTTCCAAGGCACAGTCAGGAATACTTTTAGTTTGATTATTAATGAAAGCAATTCAACCTTCACCTTTAAAGAAATTAACACAAAACGGAATTACATTAAAAATGGTTAAATTTTGTGGCAGCATAGCTATTTTTCAGAAAAAGAAAAACCTTAAAGAACCAATGCAATTCATAACCATGCTGAAAAGCAATATGGAAGACTTTTTTTCCCTGTGGAGTACTGCCTTTTATCCTTTATAATTTTGTCATTATTACAAGTACAGATCAGTTTAGTTGAGAAATTTCAAGAAACAGCCTTAAAATTCCTCCTCTCTTCAAACAAGCTAACACAGCACCTTCAGCAATACTTTTTGAAAGTGGACATGCAGAAGAATGTATACACATTAACTGCTAGATAGACCTGAAAGAATACATTTCTAATTGATGTTGGCATTAAAACCTTGAGCAGTCACACCCACAGAGACAAAAATAAAGATATGGGAGAAAGGAACTGTTTTAATTTTTTTAATGGTGGATTACACCTCAAAACATATGTAAACCACTTCACCGATGACTAAAATCCTTTAGAAGTATCAGTTCTGAGGGAGATGTCAGAGGGAAAATAAAACCCAAACAAAAGAACAGAAATAATCTGTTATTTCTGTCCAAGAACCTAATGAACTTATTAGATGAAAATATTTGACATTTGACTGATCTCCAACTACAAATCTAACAACAACCTCTTCCATCTTCAATCACTAAGCCAACTTGTAGAGTCTCTGTTATAAAGAAAAAATTAGCCTATATTAGGAATAGTATGTGCAGCTTACGTTACATTCCTAGACAGAAAAGTATTCTGGAAACAATTAACTTTATACAGTCACTTTTGCTTGGCTCCTAGAAGCTTACCTAGACATTTGACCATTAATCCCCAACACTTTCCTGTAAAGCACAGCTGATCTATTTTATCACCATCAAACACTACCAAAACTCAAAACACCTTACACAAAACAGATGCAAGTGACAATCATGGCCACAAAGGAAAAAAATTTCAAGATAATGGTAACACAGAAGGTATAACTATGAATTACCAGTGGTTATTTTTAAAATACATACATATTAATATTTCTTAATATTTCAAATCCAAGGGGATGGGGGCGACTTTACTGTCAACCAGACTCATTCATCAACTGAACGCTTAATGCTATTCTATTCTACCAAGTGACTAATCATGCCCTCTTGAGGTTTCATGATTAGTTTTTCAATTATATACTCCCAAAAAATTATGCACATTTGAAACAATAGGATATTTCACAACTTTTCAAACTCAGCCGATCTAAAATTTTCAACTGTTTTTCTTTCTCATGCATAATAACCAGGAACGATGCAGACCTCCCTGTGGGCATACAGCAACTTCAGTAAAACTGCTGCAGAGCACTGACACTCCCAAGAGGAAGAGAAAAACAAAAGAAAAATTATTTTGATTTATTCTGACTTCTATACAGACAACTCAGTTACCACTGGTTAAACAGCAAAGCAGATAAAAACAAACAAATGAACCCCACCAGACACGATTGTAATCACATGTACACAAATGTTGAGTGAGAACTGCCTGTTCTTACACCAGCTGGCAGGTAGCCCGTCAAAAATAGCCGAGGAAAGAGGAAATAGTTTCTGCAATGGTAGAGGGAGAGAGAGAATGGGAGACAAACCCTGCTGATGTTCTGAAACATTTACTTGAATCACAGAAGAGTTCCCCGTTACCCTGCACACCCTCTGCTGGCTGCTGCTTACACAGGAAGGAGGAAAAAGAAGAGGAAAAAAAAGGAGCTGTGGTGACTTTGTGAATATGTATACATATACATGCATTGTGAAGATACATCTAAACCTCCAAATGAAATCAGTTGAACTGTTTTTAATCCTATTTTCTACAAAATATGGAATATTTAACTGTATTGTCTAACAAAAGATGATTCGTCTTAACACAAACTATGTTTTCCTTCTATTACAGATGATGAGAATTGGGATAGAGCAACATGAATTTTACTACTGTCTACAATTTATACTGAAGAACTTCCTTCACTAACATTCCTGCAAGACTCTGGGTGTCCATATGAACTTTGCTTAGCTGCAACCTGCCCTGTCAGCTCTGAAGTCACTGGCAGTGTTGCAGATCCACTGGGCAGGATGCACTTAATCTCCTACCCAGGTCTTTGAAGGAGCATCTGCAACCACCGCGTTAGTGTGTTTAGCTCACTTCACGAAGTAACTGTAAAGCACCAGAACATTAAAGGCCCCTCTCTTTGCTTACAGTATCAGTGAAGATTAAAGGTTTCACTCAGAGATCCTGAAGAACAGACACGGACAAAGCACACAAAACATCAGCAACTTCCGCATTACCCCATGTGGGCGCCTGCCCTCTGGCAAGCAAGGGAAAGAAGTTTTTCCGCAGACTTCAGCTGCTCTGCCGGCAAGACTGATAACTGTGACAACTTTTAGGATGTAGCTCTAAAAATACAAAAATTAAGCATCATACATCTTAAGAAGCTGCTGTTGACCTTGGAGTCTTAAACAGGGTTACACAAATCCCTTAACTTTCCAACCTTCCCCCCAAGTGCCGGTAGGCTCCATCCCACCCCGCCGTACCCAAAAGGGCTGGTGGCCGGTGCCACCGGCCCGCAGGTGCCAGCCCGGCTGGGGTAGAGCTCCCGGTGCGGCTCCGCGGGTACGGGTGGGCGGCCCCGCCGGCTCCTCTCCCCGACCCCCGCGCAGCGCCTCCCTGCTGCCCGCTCCTCCGAGCCCGACCCGGGCGCGGCCCCGCTCCGCCGCCCACCGCGGGGCCCACGCGGCCGCCCCAGCCCGGCCGGCCCCGGTGGCGGCTGCGGGGCCCGGGGAGCCGCGGAGGGAGGTGAAGTCCGGGCGCGCCGCGCGATTCCGCCCCCGAAAACTACAGTACCCGGCGGGCCACGGGGAGGCGACGGCGGCGCAGGGCTGTCGGTGCCTGCGTTTGCGGGAACTCGGCGGCGGGGGAAGCGCGGGGAGCGGAGCCCCGGAGGGAGGCCTCGGTGCGCGTCTCTCGGGAGTCAAGGGGCAAGGGGCCGCTCGGGCCTTTCCCCGCTTCGCTTCACCTCTCGCCGGGCAGGGCGGGGGTCTAAGAGAAGCCCGGCGCGGGCCCGGGCCCTGCAAGGCTGCGCGACCCTCCAACAGCCAGGCTGGAGCGGGGCAGGAAGGCGAGCGTGGAGCGGGGCAGGAGGGCGGTCCCCCCCCGCCGGCCGGGAATGTGCCCGCAGGCGGCTCCCGGCCGAGTCAGGGCCGCCCCCCGGGCGCCCGGCCCTCACAACGTTTGCCGCCTCCTCGCCCGCAGGGCCCACGGCTTCTATGCCAGGGATGCTGGTGTCGCCCACAGGAAAAACCTGGGACTCCTCAGGAAGATCATGTGCCAGGTAATAGCGGGGCGTTTCGCGCTGACTGAATCCCTGCGCGTACTCGCTTTCAGTCGGGCGGGCTGAGTGTCAGTCCTCAGCCCAGGGGTCTGAGAAGTCCCTGGTCCCGCGGGCGAACAAGTTTGGGGAGAAAAAATCTGCAGTTTTACTGAAGAGAGTTAGAAATGGTTAAATTTACTTCAGCAGGCTCAGACCTAGATATGTAGAAACGATTATGCTGTGCAAAAACTGCAGAAGCACCTGTAAATCTAATAATTGTGTTAATAAGCTTTTGTGGGATTTTGTATCACTTATATCCCTAAGATGGCTTCATATTTAATACCAATAATAAATTCGTAGTGCTTAAGAGAGCATCAATGTTAAATTTGAAAGGAGTTCTCACAACTAAATAAGCTAATCAGCAGAGTCCTTCAGGTAAACATAACCCTAACCAGTCAGTGAATTTATGGTAGAGAAAAAACTAGGAATTAAACCAATTAGAAACTGAACTCTTTTTTTAATCAGAACAACTCTCATGCAGTAGTTGATAGGAATACATTGGAAGTGGAAGAAAATTGGCAGTTATATTGAAAACAGGTTTATTGGAAGTCAGCTGAAGTGTGTTCTTATGTAATTAGATCAATGGGCATGCAAGGTTTATTGAAATAAAAATAAGTATATTTGATTTACACTTTTCTTTTTGGCAAAACTAGAACCTTTGTTAATGATATAAATGGTATAAAGCTGCTGTACCTGTAATGCATGCAAGAAATTTTGATGGCAGCAGTTTATTCCATTAACATTTCAGGCGCTTATTGCAAATAACTGCAAACACATTTTTCTACCTTTCGCACCAAACACCACTGGCAAAATGGAACTAGATGTTCAATAAATACAAGTAATTACATATAAAAGAATTCTGTGCATATTTATATTCTGGGGAGTTTAGTTCTTGATTTCAAAAATCACCATGAAAGTTTAGTTGCCAGCTTCAATGCAGGTAAGATAATGACAGATTATTCCTCACCCATGCTGTCCATTATAGGTAATAAAGAATCTTTTAATTTGGTTTAAAAAAAAAAAAAGACAATTTTTCCTTGAGAAAGGTCTTTTAATTTGGTTTTAAAAAACCAAATAAGATTCTTTTTTATGTTTTCAACTATAAAGTTTCAATTAATGTAAGTTGTTAAGGTGCAGAAGCCAAATAAAATATTTTCCAGAAGCAAAGTTTATTACAATAGCCATTATTACAACTACTGTGTTTCAGGAAAGTACTAAATTCAAGAATGTTTGGACAACTCATTCTGCATCTCCTATTGCTTATGAAAGAGGAAGAATATACATGGACAATTACCAGTGCTGTATTAGCAGGTAATAATTCACAATTACAAGGTACCCTGACAGTTTTGAGACTGTGATTCTGTGTTAGACATGTTGCTAACTTGACTCATTTAGATAGCTGCTGTGAATTGAGTGGAATTTACCTAGGAACAAGAAATAACCAGGTGCATAAATCTCTGTTGAATTACATTTAGATGCCCTTGTATTTTAATGTGACACTTGCTTTGATAAAAGAAAGTCTGATCTTAGTGGTGCTGTATTAACTTCAGCTTTCAGAGTACTTTAATAGGAGCGAAAGATTCTCACCATTTTATAATCTGCCACTGAAAAGCCAAATGAACAGTAGTTCTCTGTAATCTGGTAACTAGCAGCGTACTAAAAAGTGTGTCACAAAATCTGCCAATGTAACAAGCCTCATGTCTATGAATTCTGTATAAAACAGGTAAATTATTGTTCACGAGAAAGTACAGCATGCAGAGTATGTGCTGGATTTTGCTAATGTATTTTGCAGATCAATTCTCTGATCTAATGTACTCTCTTATTCCATCATCAGTTGCAGAGGCACAGGTTAGGAGGCAGCATATGGCAGGGTAGAGGATGGGAAATCTGTGTACACCAGCCCTTGTCTGCCCGTCCCTCCTGTGAGGGAAGTAGCATGGTCTTGGAGAACTGCATTGCTGAGTAAGTTGTGGTCAGAGCAGTTTTGAGACAGTGTCATATGATACATAAAAGACAAATTACTCTGTCAGTGTAAACCACTGAGAGTTAATTAAATTAATCTATCACTTACAGCTGAGATCTAAATCTGCTTCTATTCCTACACTGTCTGAATGCTTTCAGTACTGGGTTAACCTGTCTAATGTCTTTCAGGTTTATCTTTGTCTCATCCTCTTCCAGAGGGGAAAACTATGCACAGTACAAAGCTTTTATTTTAGTTAGTAGGGTTTTTTAAAAATATGAAAGGCAACATTGGAAGAAGGGGAAGGTTCCAGGATGATCGTTAGTTTCTGAAATATGCTTTCTTTTTAATGTGTATCACTAAAGGAAGAATGTTACTATTAAGTTTGTTACTAAAAGGAAACAAAAACAAGCCCCAAAGAAACAAAACCCCTACCAAACCATAACACCAAACCACAAGATATAGAGAAGACTAGCTTTTAAATATTACCTTATATTAACTATTGTTTATTAGGCCTTATTTTGAGAGAAAATTCAGTTATATTTACGGAGTAAAAATAAGATGTATAGATTTCTGATCTGCCTAAGGAGAAGGCAGGATTTATAAAACTGTATGAAATGACTTGTTGATAGAATGTGGTCTATAAAATAGACTAATGATTATCCATCATTTTCCTCTAGCATTGCACAAGCCCCAAGAATACTTTATCAAAAGTCAAAGTGTGCTAAATCAGAAAAAATAGAAGATGCTTTATTATTGGAATGCCCACTGGTAAGATTATTTTTTACTAGAGCATTGTTGTGCAAAATAGTAAACTAATATATTTCAGTGAAATATATTTAGAATAGAGCACTCTTTCTCTGCAAACTACTTTCTCAATGTTTTTATGGAGTTAGGCCATTAAAGGTTTGCAACATGTGCTGATTTATATTAACTGAACATTTAGAGGTATACTTCCCTGCATTTCTCAACAGTGCATTCAAATGTTTTTCAGTAAGTGTTCATGGAAGATTTTATGCCTTTATGCAACTAACTCTTAATTCCTTACAAAATAGATCCTGTTTATATTTTTCCTTATTCTTTAAATAGCAAGGACAGTAGCTGGGAGTTTTAGTTTTCACCAGATCTGTTCACATTAAAAAAATGAAAAAGCAGATATGCTGAAGGCCCACTGAAGCAACTCTGCCCAAAATCTGTTCTGCTGTTTTTAACTAATATTTAATTTCTCTCCTCCACAACGAGTTTTTCTCCCATCCAGTGTCCACAGATCTTAGAAATATTAGCCTGATCCTTGAGGTGCATAAAAAGAAAACAGTGTAAATACCTTTCTTAGCAGTTACTGTTATCCTTGAATGTCTTATTTTGCAATACTTCAACAATTTTCTCTTCAAGACTGGTATCAATTAGATAATAAGCAGTTACACTTCATTTTTTGCAGGGCAAGGAAGTTTTAAAAGGTGTCTTTTCTAGAAAAGGTACCTGTCTTACAAAAACTGTGACAACAGACTATTTATGTGATAGGTGATTATTTGGCATGGACATGATCTTAGAAATACTGATGCCATTAGCAGGTTGCTTTCCTCATTCAGTTTTTGAGGAATGTGTATTAAGTTTTCTGTTCTTCTGTTATGTATCCTCCTGGTACAAATATTTTTCTAACAACTTTTTTTTATGTAGGGGGAAATGTTGCCAAGTCCCTCAGATTATAAAGCTTCCCTGATAGTCTTGACAGTGCAGAACTGGCTTCTACGTCTCTCTGCTGATAGTGGAGAAGTACTGGAAAAAATATACCTTGCTGGTTCCTGTTGCAAATCCTTCAGGTATGAAACAACGACTAGGCTTAATATCATTAACAGTCATTAGCACTATAGTGGAAAAGGGAAGTCATGTTTATTTTCGTACCATCCTGTGGCTGACTACAGGTTTGTTAGTCTAGAATGTTACCTGGAGTACTGCTCCTGCATGCTCTTACCTGTAGAAGAATTTTATCAGCTTAAGTATTACAGTCTTAAATTTGGTGTCAAGTTCCACAAAACCTATGCTACTATTTGCTTTTCTCTGACAACTTTACAGCCTTTAATATTGTAGTGGCAGCATACCAGGAAAGGACCTTTAAGAGCTGTAGAACAAACCTCAACAAACATACAAAAAATGCGTTTAAAGTTTGAGCTGTTTTGAACTTGCTAACGTTCTTTTCCATTTTGCTTATTTAAAGCAGAGCAGTTACTGCTTCTGGCAAACTGCTGCTTTTTTCAGTTCTCAGAAGAAATTATTTCCTTTAGGCTGAAGGATAAGACAGTGGTGATTACGAAAGGAAGGAGAAAAACTTAGATGGGGAGTGTTCGTGCTTTCCAAATTTTTCTCGCAATCCTGTATGGAATAAGCCATCCCTAGGTTCCGTGGGTGTTGCACTACTGCAAACAGCAAACATCTTGAGCACCTCTTCCGAATCAAAGACTGAAGTTTGGTCACAGGCATCTACATAGTTACAGTAGATTATATTTTATGTGAAATAATATATTTACTAATGAATGTTTTTTTTAAGTGATTAAGATAGGCCTTTCTTGTCACAAATAGGTATCTGAGCTGGGATACTCCTCAAGAGGTAATGGTTGTAAAGACAGTTCAGAATAAGCTCCCTGCAGCAGCACGGCAGGTAGGTTTGTTGAAAAACTGTCACTTTTACAATATTGATCAAAAAAATGTACAAGTACAAAGATGGAGGCATTATAATTTGTTATTATGGCAGAAGATCAAGGTGTCCTACCATTAATAACTATATTCAATATTGTTCCTTTCCAGGCAGGAATACAACAGTCTGTATTGTTTTATCTTGCTGTATTCCAAGTTTTACCTCTTTCATTCATTGGAATGCTAGAAATAAACAAAAAGGTAAGTTAATTTCTCTGTTAAAATTGATCCGTAGTGTAGTTCTATGACAGTTCTAGTTTAGGCACTTGTTTCAGAATTTCAGAAGTCATGGTTGCAGCTTGTAAAAGGAGCTGAAACATTAATTAGCAGCAGCACTCTTGTGTCTGATAGGGGCGCTGGGGGCAAGATTCTTAATTGTAATGACCAGAAGAGAAAACAGAAATACATTCTGTTATTGGGTTACTCTTTGACACGTAGAAGGACTTTACTTAGAGCAATCATAAGAATTAGGAAATCCTAAAGTAGAATTCTTTTCACCTCCTTAACGAAAGATAGATATGCCTCTAACCCAGTCCCAGTGATAGTCTGTGCATTCTATACACAGTTACAAATTTTTCAAACTTCTGTTACCACTCTTAATGGATGACAGATGTAAATACGTCCTGCTTTATCGGTCAAGAGCAAACAACCTTTCTGAGTTCAGTTTGCGACCTGTGAGTAAGAGTCTTTATACTGTGAAGCCTTGAGGCAGATTGCAGGTTTTCCTATGTTCTATTTTAAGCCAAGAAAACCCTGGATACAACTTAAAAATGGAACAGTAAAAACATGCAAACTCTCTCTTCAAGGTTCTGTGAGGTACAGTCTCAATTCAGAGTCCAGAGCTATGAGTGAGTTTTAGTTGGTGCTAGGTTGGGTTGAGGCTGTAATTGGGATTGGGCTAGCAAGAGAAGGTGTGCAGTTAAACTTTTTCATTTGGGCCCATGAAAGTTTGGTGCACTGTCTGTTGTTCTGTTCAAAATTAGTATTTAGAACTGGAAAAAATGTTACCAAGTATCAAAGGTATGCTCAATCTGGTTAGGAATAGCATGCCAGATTCATCAAGGTCATAGTAGCAAAACGTCCGAAAGAGTAACGCTTCAGCTGCGTCTGTACCCAGCACTCTCCAGAGAAAGGGTTACAGCTGGGAATAATGGCAGGGCAGAATGTGGGATGTGAGAATACACCCAGCAGAAGAAGCAACCAATGAATGCAATACCAAGCCTGCTATTAGATTAGATTAGATTAGGGTTACTGTTTAACACTGCAGAACGCACCTCATGGATCAGCTTTACTGAGATGGTACACAATAAATTCTGAGTTCAGAGTCGCTAAGGTCTCAAAGGTACAAAGGAGACTTCAGAGTTGGAAGACTTAGGTTTGTGCCTGGAAGACACTTGGACCTAAGATAACAAATATATTTAAAGAGCCATAAATCTAAGTAAAAGGCAAAGTCTCAGGAGTGAATATATCTTTCAGAACTAAACAGACCACAAGATCACTGATAGTGTTAAGATGTAGGAGTCTTGCAGCTTTTGGGTTTCTTTATATTTTTTTAATTGTTTTTAAGCCTGTTTTAACTGGTTTAATTGCTTTTTCACATAGTAAGCCAGACTAGAGAAATGCAAAATACATTTCCAAGCATATCTATTGGAAGAATTACCAATATCACATTGTTATTCATTAAATATGAAGAATTAATTTGTGGGGGTTTCTCAGTGATGTGTTAAACAGTGGCACAAGTGAATACTGCATGATTATTAAAAGCTTCTCATGTTGTGTCTAATTTGGATTCAGAGAGGATCCTGGACTCTGTGACAGCTGGATAATGTAGTTTTGGTACAGCTGTACACAGAGCTGTGAATAGACTAGTATTTTACCCTGGTGATAAAGAAAGAATAGAACATCTGAAATCAGGACTTGTAGACTGAGTTGCTAGTTCTGCTAACAATCCTGTGGGATTGTTAGATTCCTAAAATCTATTCATGTATGATAATAACAGGGTAACAAGGTATAAAGATACACTGAGAACTCATTAGAGAATGAATCTGCTTGCAGATTATGACTAATCTAACCTTAGGTGTTAGAGCAGTGCAAAGTATTACGGAAACTCAGCAGGACAGATGAATTACGGAAAACTTAATGAACTTATAACACTGATCACGGGGTCTGGTCAAAATAAAAAATGAAAATGATTGCAAAATTAAGGACATAATGTCACTATTTTGCATTGTCTCAATTATTTCTTTAATAGAATACATTTTGCTTCCTTTTATTCCAGATATTTGGTAATAGTGTGACAGATGTTGCTGTTTCTAATGGAATCCTGATTGTAATGTATAGCATGGGTCTGGTCAGACTCTATAACTTCAAGGCCATTTTGGAACAGGTAATGAAATACAGAAGTTTTCATACAGTCCATGCTGTTTGGGGCAACAAGTCATAAATATTCACATAATGCTGCATAGGTACATGGGGATTGTGTCAAAGGATAGAGTTCCTGCCTAAATCTATTTATAGTCAGAGGATGCAAATGGATACACTATCAGAAAATTCCGCCTGCACCAGTTACAGGTGGCAGACATGAGACACAGGGTCACACAGGCACTTCAGAGGAGTTACATAAACGTTAGACCAGGTGTGCTCCTCTTTACACACCTGGCCTGTAGCTTTAGATGATTGGGAAGGCCAGAAACTGGTGGGTGTGGAAGATTGATCTCAAACAGAACTGCAGTGAGACTTTTGCGTTTATATCCTTCCAGTCAAAAGATGAACACTGATTCAAAAGTAAACCCTCAAGCAGTATCTAACAGGATAAAGAATGCAGTAGTAATGGAGCAGTAAAACTAAACAACAAGTAAATATGCATCAATAAAGCTAAATTGTTCTGTGTTATTTTAGTTCATGGAACAGCCATTTGATTTGGGACAGGAATTCAACTGGAATGGTCAAGTGGGAGTTGTAGGAAAGTATCCATTTGGTCTTCCATGTAACATTAAAATAACAGGTAATTATGATCTTCGTATTATCTTGGCTGGTGGCTTTTATGATTTAATTATTACTTATTTCACACCAAGAAAGTTAAAATTACTGTGCTTATATTGTGCCATAGCTATATTTCTGGATTTACATTATAGTAAAAATGTGTTTTGCTTTACTTCTAATTACAATTATAATTATATAAGACATACCTAGAAAACTATCACAGCAACTAAGCTATCTGAAAGACCTCATAAGCAATGCATGAAATGGAAACCTCTTCCTCATTTCTGAGACCCAGTTGCTCTTGAGAAAAAGGAAGGGCTAGGATAGCTACTTGGTAGCACCAAGAAACAGTACCTGGTATGTAAGCAAATGGGAGAACATTTAATCTAACTTGCAGAGGAAATTCAAGGAAACTGAATACAATTTGTCTGACTTCCATTTTGATAATTCTAGGTTGTCAGAAACGTGCCAGTTTCAGTGAGAACAAATTATTAAAAACAATTCTTATGCCTTAAATCATTAGCTTAGACATGTTCTGCTTTATGTAATGATTGTAATTCTCTGAAATCAGACAGTGATTTCTGTTGGTGCATTTAAGATTAGAATTTGGTGCTAAGAATCTTAATGAATGACCAAAGACTAAGACTTTCTTTGAAACAAAAATAGATTCTCACTACTTCACTCGAGGGACTTCCAAAAAAAAAAAAGTAAGGAAAGAAAGAAAAAGTTGGTTTCACAAATGTCAAAGAATGTATTAGTGTATTTTTTTTAATTTGGAATGTTTTTCTATTAAATGTTTTTTACAAGTGATTGTCCACATAAAAAATGTTTTTGATCTTTATGTCCTCCAACTGTCCGATAATAAGAGGCAAACCATCCAGATGTACATAAAAATGAGGGAATACATAAAATACAGACGTACATAGTAAAGGCTTTCAGTTATAATGCAATGTTTTATCAACACAAAGTAATAGGCTGCTATAATTGATGTCTCAGTTTCTGCAAAGGGAAATTTTTCCTCATTTTTCTCTCAGTCTGCAAAACCACCATTTAATGTTATGGGCCCTGTGGAAAAGATGCTTATAGATCACTGTAGTTTTTAGTTTTGAGATTTAAAACCTGTGTACTGGAAAAAACATTTTTGATCTTGAATCCTCTGCAAGAGTTTGTGGTTAGGAAGTTTTGAAGGCATGACACACATTTGCCGTGGCTGCTCTTTGCAGATACTTGCATTCCTGTGGGTTTTGAGTTGTTTTCTTCTAAGAACATGAGATGGCCAAATGCTTCAGTGAGCAAGATCTTAAGATCTTATTTCAGAGTCCAGGCTTGTATTTCCTATAACTTAATTGTGTGTCATTTTCCTTCTTATTTAGTCCTAGCCTCCCTACAGAAATTGCCTGAAGGGATGACCATTATTACAGTACTGGTTTTATGGTGTGAGGTACCCAAAAGGAAGTGTATGGAGATCAAACCTTACAGGCTGCTGTGTACTTACCACTTCATTTACAACTCTTAACTGTAGAGGAATTTGACTTTGGTCACAGTGGGAGGAATGGAAAAGTACCTATAAATCTTCATTATGTAACTTCTAAATATCCAGAACTTAAAACTAGTTTGATTTATTGATAGAGGATACGGTAATTTCAAAACAGAAAAAATACTTATTAGTGCTGCCAGGAACTACTTTATGACTTTATTTTAGATGAGTCTGGAAAGTTTTAAGGAAGTGAACAGAGAAGCTCAACTGGAGACTGAAAACTGGCAAGACTTGGGCAAGAACTTGCAAACAATAAAATAGGTGTTAAGCAACGAGAGTGAGTGACACACTGCAGGAAAGTGGGAGTTGAGGCAGCAGAGTCACATTATCACAATGGTTTAGGTGGCTGTGATCTTGCAAATCTTTGCCAAATGAACATAAAAAGGCATATATTATCAGCAGCCTATACTGCTCAGGGTTGATATACTATTTAATTTCACCATACGTATACATATTTAATTGTATCATTTAGTCCATCTACCAGAATTTTTGAGGAACCTTGCTATATGTTTTATTTAAAAAGTTGATAGGGTTAAATGTTAACAAATTTTCCTGACTCATTTTTCATTTACTGACTGATTTTAATATCAGTAGGCCCTCTGCTTATGCTTCCATCTTCAGCATTCTCTACATTTTCAGCAGATACCTAAGTTTTTTATAACCTTGTTATATCTTGCACAGAATCTTCCGTTTCCTGTGTGTTAGTCCAAAAGACAGCTAGACAACTAGCCACTTTCTAGCCTAGGAAGGACTTCATTTCCATTGGCAGTGAACTAATTCTGTTCAGTCTGTGTGCTAGAAACGTGAACAAAGGAAGAAGAGAGAAGCAAGAAGAACTCTGTAAACACCAGTATCTCATGTCATGTGACATCTCAGAACCATTGCCTAGAACCTGGATAATTATCTAGACTGAGAAGGATAAGAAGGATAAGAACAAGTCTAAATTTGGAACTGAAACAAAAACTAAAAAACATTAATTGCAAAAATTTCCGTATTTTTATTGATTTTTATGAACTCAGCTATAGATTGCATTCAGTGTGCTCCACTATTTTGTTGTATAACACAAAAGGAGAAAGAATATTCTGATTTTGCATTTAATTCTGTTATTTGAGACTGCTACTTGCTGTTTCCAGCTATTTATGGATATTTTTCCCAAGAGAATATTGACCCTTTTGATACGGTCTTTTGATCTGTTCATGTGTACATCCTTTCTCAATCAGATGAGCTGGATTAAATTTAATTATTTGCTGTGTCTTTGCTCATCCAGCTTATTTGGAGTGAAGTAAGTCAAAGGTACTAGAAGAGCAGTTGAGCATCAACCTCTGAGAAGGCAGTAACCCTCCCCAGGGAGCTGCAGATTTGTGCTTGGATGTTAGGTGAGGTAGCGTAGCTGGTGATGGAAAAAGGTTCACAGCAATGCATTTCCACCAGTCTTCAAAAGTTCTGAACTTTATTGGAATTTAGAATTGTAAGGATCAATGGAATTATGATTGTTCTGCTACTAATGGTGTTAACATTACCGAATATTTGCAGATACCCCACCTTTGCTATTTGAAGCATCTTCTCTGGAGAATGCATTTCAAATTGGAGGTTACCCTTGGCATTATATCATCACACCTAACAAGAAAAAACATAAAGGAGTCTTCCATATTTGTTCTCTGAAAGACAATGCTTTGGTAATATATTCAGATAGCAGCTTCTCTGAAATTAATGTGTATCATGTTTGTCTTCATCTCTTATTCTGAGTAGCATTTGAGGTAATAATACCCTTGTTTTCCAATGTGGTGCTTTTGCAGGGCTCACCCCAGAGTATCAAATCAGCTGTCCCATGGAGTCATTTGTGAAATGTTTCCTTCTGAATTAGTACTGCTTCTCCTATTTCCTTCATTCCAATATAATAGTGGCACTGTCAGGTCTAGACAGCACTGTATTCGTGACTTAAAAGTTAAGTCTCATTACCTGATTCCTTGCATGGTAACATCTTAATGCACTTCTGACTAGTCAGCCTACCAAATGCTGACTAAAGAATTATTTTAAATTTTTAGAAATGGCAGAATAAGTTTCCTTAATGTTTGTAGTTTATTTTTGATTTTTGCGCTTCTCTCTCTCCCTAGGAAGACTTCATTGCTCAGTTTAATCCCTCTCTATTCCTAAAAAGGTTTTATTACTCAATTTAATCTATTCCTAATTATTTTTATGTGCTGTTCATCATATATTCTTTTGTGTGAGCTGTCCATCTCAGCTTTTATTTTTAACCTGGAGTTGACCTGAAGATCATTCTGTAATACAAGCAGCTTCTAGGCCTGTTCAGAGTTCTTGACTAAATAAGTCTCATCTGTAGATGTCCTTATCTCTTTTGCTAGCCTGATCAAATCAATGATTTCCCCTCCTATGTCTTATTGTCAAAACTGTTGTTTCACAACTGTAGCTGAAGATCAATTTTGATTAAAATAGACATGTACAATCCTTATCTCCTTTTTCTATATGGGTTCATGTATTTGAAAATGTGAGTAATCAATGTCAGCTAAATTTAAGACCAAAAAGCTACTGCCAGAGTCCCAAGGTTTTGACCAGCTTGCACCTGATTGCTGAAATCCTGAGCTGTCCCAGGCTTACATGCTCCACAAATAATTTGCACAAAAGAGGCTAAGCCTGAGGTTTGAAGTTCAAGTCAAACTTAGTGCTAATATTTGTCTCATGTCTTGACACATCCCATGTCTTGGATACTCAGATTGCTGGAATTGTTGATGTGTTTGCAGAGTGTAGGCTAAATCTTCATTTTGCTTAGTTTCAGGAGAGGAAGGACTATATATAATATAGCTAAGATATGAGGTCGTTGCTTATTGCATATTAAAAATGTTGAAACTGTTCCATGGCATATCTTAAGAATTGGAACTGAATCTTTTTATTATTCTTGTTATTATTATTGTTCCACTGCCATCCTTTCTGGTCATGATTAGGAGCAATACTTAAAAACCTTCAGAGGCATGTAGTGAGGAGCTCAAGTATTTCCTCTTTAATTAGATCTGTGAGACTTTCAAAATACTAATATTCTTTTTCTTCTTCAGGCAAAAAATGGCATACAGGATATGAAATGCTGTTCACTTGAACCTGACTGGATATATTTCCATCCAGATATGTCAGGTAGAATAATCCACGTGGGACCAAATTTGATAAAGTATGAACCTCTTTTTTTTCAACTCTTATTTTCATCAGAGCAGAGATTGCAAAACTGCACAAATTCAGTAGTTTGACAATTTGGAGGTCGAAACACGCATCAAACTATAGAAACTGTAAAATTCATTAATTTGTCAGAATCAGAAGGTTTGGTAGAAACATCTGCAGATTTCTATGTGATGAATGTGGGCACTGGAGGCCAGAGTCTAGATTTTATATGAAAAACGTTCGAGGACCACTGTGTTAAAATGTCATTGATAAACATAAATTACAAAAATAATTAATTTCCATTTCACTTATTTATGATGTTTTTATGTACAAGATTTTAAAAAACTATATAGAAGTGTTGCAGTAGGCAGATTAGAGTATGTGACTGACTTTGTAATTTCTGTTTCTTTCGTAGAGTCTTGAAGCTTAAGGAAGTTAAAAATCATCCAGATCAAATGGAGATTGCAGAAGATTTTACGATTGTAGCCAACAGAGAAAACTGTGTGAGTTTAGTGTCTGAGATCACAGTGTATGATTTTGAGCAATACATGAGGAGTTTGCATATATGAGTAATCACTGTGTTTTATGGGCTCTGTTCAAGGTTTATTGAAAGACATCCTCTGTCTTCCATCGGAGTTTAAAAGAATTTTTGAGAGCAGTAACACTTTCAGGATAGACTTCTGAAACCTCCAGTCTTTTCTTTAGTTTTCAGCATTCTTTATGGTGTGCAGTATCACATGTCTCTTGGATATAAAACATACTTAATAGATGGTGACAGATTTCCTTCAAATGAAGGTTCTACTAAGTGATAATTGTGTGCCTTTCTGGTGCTCAGGTAAGTTGATCATACAAATACTAGAAATGTTTCAAGTCCCTCATAACTTATGGGTAAGTCTTCATAAGACAACAAAGACAATACGTTGCTTCCAAAAGTCTGTTTCTTCTCTTGGCTGTGCACACCTGTGACAGGTTTGGCATTCATCTAACTCTTGGTGAGCCAAATCAGTGCACTAAAATAACAGAAAAGGTGAGTGCTTGTCTGCTTGCCTGTGAGCTGAACTGGAGCAGAACAGAACTGAATCATCAGTGGATCAGAAGAGTGCAGAAAGGTAGAATCAAGTGGTGAGGAGATGATCTAAACCTGCTGGTAGGATTGAGCTCTTAAATCATCTCAATTGTTTCGTGAAGTCTTTTGTGATGTAAAATCACACAGACAATCTAACATCAAAAAGGTTAAAGAGCACACTCATGAAGAAAATTTTTTTATAATGGCTGGAACTGTCATTTTCCTTCAGCATGCAAGGTTATGTCTTACCTACTAGCAAGTTTTTAGTTTGAGTACTGTAAAATGCCTGGAAATTGCTCATACTAAAATTTTGAAGCTTTTGCAGAAGAAAGGTTTGTGTATTAAAAATCTACACAAACTCAGGAGTAAATATTCCATTGAATTCAGAAACTGAAAGCCAGGTCATCTAATGATTCACCATACTGGTTTTTTAGGGTTTGTTTAGGTAACTTCTGTTACAGTAAGAACAAAGAAATACGAGTTTTAGTCCTGTCTGTGCTGTGCCTATTCCTTTTGACTTCCATTATGACACTGATAACCCAGTTTTGAATGTTTCTTGTGGTAATGAAGCCCAGTGGAAGCAGCTGTGGTGGTTGAAGATGTTACTTTTCCCATCTTCTGCAACTAAGAGTTTAAGAAACAAGCTGATGGTGACTTAGCTGTGTCGATTCCCATTCCAGCATCTTGGTTCCAGACACTTCTGTTCTAAAACTTACGGTAGCTGAGAACCTTTGCCAGCTCTACAGGACTGAGAACCTCTGCATATGAGTAAATATTAATAATACCTCAGTTAAAGTTACCAAGTTCATGAACCCTCATAAAGAAGCCATAGCAGCACTAGGGCGATGCACAGCTGATGAGTGAAACAAGGTCTGAGAGATTAAAACAAGCTCAGAAAGCAAACTATAGGATGGAAACTAAAATGCTCTGAAGTCTAGAGACACTTCTCTGTGTTTCTCCAAAGGTGAACAACACTGTTACCGTAACGGCTTCTGGTCGAGTGGTGAAAAAGCGTTTTAATTTGCTGGATGATGACCCAGAACAAGAGGTAACTGATGCAGTGAGTAAGACCACTTCATGCATTATTTTAGGTGCTTAGCCAGCCAGAAGCCATTCTTGTTTCAGGTGCAGTGGGTATAACCATTATGTATATCTTTGAGTTCTTTATTCTTCTTCTATCTGTCTTTTTAACTTCTAATTGCTTCAAATGCTCTCTGTCATCTTTTCTCTATAGTTGACATTTGAGCTGTGGATTTTTTCTTTCTTGCAAGAACTGCTCTTATGCCCCACGATACCATCATAACTCCGTGTGACTTCAGTGGCAAAGAAAGGAGATATTAATGTGACAAACCATTACTCTTTTCTCCATTCAAATGTTTCCTTTAAATGTTTCTTACAAAGCATTTTATGAAATGAAAGAAACTTTTTTTTTCCTCTGCTTTAGATTCCTCTTGTCTTTGATGTAGCATCTCTAAACTGCATTTTCCTCTCCCAGTTACTTTGATTAGATTGCAGGAAAAGGTATTTAACATTTTTCCTTTAAGTAACTGCTTCTTGAGAATGAAAACACCACATGCCTTGGTGTTGAGTCTTCAGGAGGTTGTGAAAAATATTTTTTAGCTCTCTGTCTAGAGCTGGAGCTGTAATTGTCATAAGCACAACAGTTAAAATGTATCAGTTTTGGGCAGTCATTTCTTTTTTTCTGAGAAACTAGATTTTACTATGGTAAAACTACAGCACAGTGCAATATAACCCTTAAGGGTCTGCAGTTCATTTCTATCCACTTCTTCTTTTAACCATAATAAAAATAGTCTACACACTATTTTTTTCCCTGCTGTTATACTTTACTTGGAATTCCAGTAGACGTTTTTATATTATGGAAGAAAAAGACTGCCTTGAATTTAAAGAGTATGTCACAGTGAAATAAAGGCAATTAAGTTAGTTCACAATCTTTACATTTTGGTCTCAGTTGTTCACTGACACACCCTGTGGAGCAAAAGAGAGCTCTGAACAGAACATAGAAATATTCATGTGAATGGAATTATCCTAATATACTCATCCCCTAATATACTCAACCTTCAAGCCAGTGAAGGTTGTAAGTTACACTGTCTCTACTATGTCTGCTTCAAGAACTTAAATATATTTCTTCTGCCACTTTAGAAGTACCTCTTTTCTATATCCTGTATGTTATATATAAAAATACATCTACTTGCACATTACGATTTTTCAGATTATCACTTTCTTTTCTCCTGCTTAAGGAATTTCACTGAAATACACTGGACAACTCACGTTGGGTATCAGTGTCCCAAAGTTTTCTTTATCAGACCAGAAGGCATAAGAACTAGAATTTTTCCAATTGTGCTTTCACCAGAAAGAAAAAAGAGCTGTCTAATTTAGGTGGAAGGGAATGTGAATTTATGTTTCATTTCTAAACTTGAGGTTTTGTTTTTCCTAAGACATTCAAAATTGTGGACTATGAAGATGAATTGGATTTATTATCCACTGTGGCAGTTACTCAGATAGGAGCTGATGGAAGAGCTCACCTTGACTTTCATTGTAATGAACATGGGATTCTACTTAAGAGTATTCCATTACGGGAGTCCTGGGATGTGGTGAGGAAAATTTCTGTCTTTTGTTCACACTGTCTCTTCCCCATGCTCATTTACCTGCCATTTTTGTTCAGATTTGAAGCAGATATATAAATAGTGTTGCCAAGGGATGAGATTTGTACATAATAATAATAATTACAAATTCTAAAATTGTAAGTATTCCATCAGATAGCAGCTCATTTATCTGAAAATCTCCATTATTTGAAATTATTATTCTTTCCATTTGTTGATTTGTTTGCGTTTTTTGGTTGGGGAAAGGGCTGTCCTTATGAATTTCTGAAGTATTTATCAACTTAAATACTCACTCTATGACTAGTTTCATCAGATTAACTTTACAACTTGTAAATAATTTCACTATCTTAACTTCAACTGCTCATGCATAGAATTAAGCTGGACCTCCCTGTGTATGTATTTGGAGAGATGGAATGGGCTGTTCATATAGTCCAAGTTTAGGTGAACATCCAGCTTAGATGGTCTGAAATTTTCAGCACCTTTGCACCTCCTTTATCATTGACTGCATAGGCCACTTGGGATCTTAAATCAGATGCATCTAATTGCAGTCAGATGCCTAAAATAGCTATGTGAGAAACCTCTCAAAGTTCTAAAATTCTGTCCTTTATGTGGAAGAGCAATCTCTGTATATCCACACAAATCCTACCTGATCCTGGAGGTCACCAATATTTTTTGTTCATCGTGCCAAATGGTATGGATATTAACAAGTTGTGGAAATAGAGACTACAATCCAATTTCTTTTTCTCATTTCAGACTTATAGTCATGAAGTTTACTTCGACAAAGACCTTGTACTACATATAGAACAGAAGCCTAACAGGAGATTCAGTTGTTATGTTTACCAAATGGTCTGTGATACCGCAAAAGATGATTAATGTTCAAGCCATGAAAAAACAGAAAGTGTTTTGTAAAAAAGGAGGGAGAACTTTTGAATATATTTAAACCATAAACAACAACTACAGAGACTTCAGTTTGGATGTTATTTAAGGACTCCATACATAGAAAGTAGTCAGCTACTGTTTTTCTGGCAGGATTTAATCTTAACATTTTGTACTACTACAAGAGGTTTTGGTTTTTTTTTTTCTTTGTAACACTGTACACTTGCCTGTAGTCCATAATGGCTCTTCATGTATTCACCAATTCATCATTAACTCTAGATGCAGCATTTATTGCTTCTCTTCAGCAATAGGATTGAAATACTGGACATCAAGGAGAAAGATGTGGACTTACTGATTATCTGCCATCTGCTGTGATCTGTCTTATATAGTTTTACCTATGCAACTCTAATATAGACTGTCAATTAAACAAAGTATGTAAAACTGTCTAGGATAAATTTTATATGTAGCATGAAAATTGCAGTGTTACTATTAAACCACTTAGACAAAATCCTTCTCTTGCTTTTCTGTGAGAAATAAAATCACGCAGGTTTTCTGGTTGTGTATGTATTGGTTTAAAGATAAATATTAATAAATTATGTATTTTACTGTCTTTTTAATATATATTTTTACACATACATATAGATATAGCAGTTCTCTGGTTCTTCCTGTGCCAAGGGTCAAGAGTGGTCAGGAGTCTGAGCCAAAGCTCCCAGCTGCTCACCCTGATCCCTGTGTGCATCCTGCCTGGTATCTGGGAGTGCCGTGTGCTATAGTCAGAATCTGCAAAATGCAGGCTTTCATTTTAAATTAAAAAGCACCTACAGCCAAACCCAGGCTGTAGATTCACGGTGATAAAGAGTGTTTCCAAATGCAAGGCAAAGATGGGCTCAGGAGAGTCGCTCTTGGAGGGAAGGACCAACATCTAACCAATCTACCAACTACCGTCGCCACCATCATGAACATGGTAATTCAAATGCAAATATTCTTTTTACTCCAACCTTTACTAATTAAGCATGGATCATTCTAGATGATGCAATAGGGAAGAGCTCTAGAAGAATGATAAAAATTTTCTATTTCAAGTTTTTACAAAAAGTGTAATGCAAAAGAAAAAGTGAACTACAATTGTTGAAAGAAAACAACACCACAAAATGGACATTTATGAAGAGAATGAAACAACAGTAGTAATAAAGGGCAGCAGCAACACCCAATTTCCACCCTCACTTCCATAAATTTTCACTTAGTGACCAGGAAAGAACACCTGTCCATTACCTGCTATTTTATAAGTAACTACGTAACTAATATATGAAGGTAATGATAGTCTATAAGGCAGAAAACCCAACTCTCAAGCAGATACTTAAGATACATTTTATGCTCACTTCTGTTTGGGTTATTGAAGCAGTTCGTCCTAGAAAAAGATGTTTAAACTTCATTGTTTTATATTAAATACTGCAAGTACTGCTCATGTCAATCAGCTCTAGCTTTCAAGAGTTTGCTATACTTGCAAGTGGCATATTCTTAAATTATTACAGACTTCTGAAATTATATTCTGCTAAATCTATAAATGTGCATCAGTATCCAAAAGTTCAGCAATTTGTAATGACGAAAAGGCAGCCCCGACTTTGATGAAGATTGTGGGGTCTCAGGTAAGAAATTCTATTACTCTAAACACACACTCTGTTTCTGCACTACAGTAATGGCAGGTGTTCCATTCTGGAAGATCACATGGATATTTTCATTCAGAAACAAGAGTGTTTTGCTTTAAAACACCTTGAAAGCTATTTAAGAGTAAAGAAGCCCCAGTAATTAGGCCTGAGCACTTCTATCTTCACACCCTACTTACTAACAGGCTGGAACACACCAAAGAAACAAGCTGTGAATTGCCTCCTGTACCTATGCACAGACCCAGAAAATTCTAAACATAAATTTCTGTTTAAATGGGAGGAAAATCCTGACCACAAACCAGTAGTCTTTCAGACTGTTAAAAAAAATAACTGTATCTAAACCAAATACAAATACCTGCATGCTTCATGGCACCTCATCTGAATCAACTGCTTTTACTTCCAGTTATATTTTTTAACTCATCCACCAGAAAAAACCTACTTTGCCAGGAGATTTCATATGTAGGCATTTTTTGGTCACTATTGCTGGCAGGGGTGTACTATTGTGCAGTGCCAAATTGATAATTTGAATTAATGCATTAGATTTGACTTAGACCTATAGTTTGATGTCCATTTATGATGATTCTAGGGCACTTAGCTTTCTCTTTTTCATAATGTAAATTAGGTACTTGGAAATCTCTTACACAATCTGAATAATTCAGTATGCTAAAGACTAAGAGTGTTTGTAAAGTGGAAAAGTTCGGAGGAAACCCATGTGGTTTCCATTACTGAGGAAAAAATATTCTTGTGCACATGCCCAGAATAATTATCTACAAGCACCAAAGTGGGACATTAGTATAAAAAAAGACGAAAAAAAAGCTTTGAAAAAAACAGAAGTAACTTTTTCAAATGTAGCTTATTTCCCATTTCTAAATTAAGAAATTAAGATGAATAAAATAGAGAAGATAAAATTTTTCTTCACTTCTCATAGGTAGTAGCTTCATGATCAGGAAACCCGTTTACTGGTAGTTTTTTGTTTTACAAAAATCAGACTAAGGTATTATTGGCATGAAATTGTGAGTTCCCTTACTTCCTGTGTATTTCAGGGGGTGCTTAGCACTCATCCATGGCTTCCAGAGTCTGCAGATAAAGCCTCAATTCATTATTTCAAATGCAATCTCAAGTGCATATTTAATAAAAGATCAAAGCTGAAAAGTTCATGCTTCTATTATTTTCACTAGCACTATAAATGCCCAAGGAGAAAAGTAGGGTATATATAGAGAGATGTAAATATGTATGTGAACTGTTAATATGAATAAAGACTCAAATGTGTATTTCAAACATAGAGTTGTAGGGATCTTACTTTTGCCAATTAGGTGATCTTACACAAACTTTCTGCATTTTCAATGTGGAGAAATGTTTCTTTATACTTCTGTTTGTTTCTGGATATGTCCAGTTACTTTAACAGCAGAGTTTCTTGGTCATTTTATTCTCATTTTGTATTTTATTTTCCTTTTGTTATTGAAAAAAATTTATATTACTTAACGGTAACTGAAGACTGCCAAAAACTCACCAGCGAGAGATTTGTTTTCCTTATGGAACTGTAACAGCTATCCCACGTGATGGAACAGCTAATAAATTAATTTGCTCCCCAGTTATGATAAAGATTGTTAATAGGAATAGCTGCTAGGAAGGACACCTGCATAGGGTGGCATGTAGGCTGCTTCCTGAAAGAACGGTTGGCAGGAAGTGCTGTCAGCTGCTCAAAGCAGGAGCTCTGGGCACTCTGCCTGCAAATGGCAAAATGTTGGTCTAGGAAGTAAAAAGATCATGAACGGGAGAATTCCTGTTGGATTTCACTGAGCGCTGTTCGATACAAACTTTCTGATGTTGCCAGAATGAACAAAACCTAAATGATAAGACCAAAAAAGGGGAGAAGGCAGTAAAAATGTGGTTTTCTAAGGCTGAACCACAAAAGAACATGGAACAGCAACTGAGGTCATTCCTAACTGCCAAGTATTGCTACAGCCACAAGTACAAAACTTTTTTAAAGAGGTTTTTTTCTGGAAGGTGTGTGAATTGATCTGATATGTATGTGGCAATGGCTCACCAATAATAATTGCATTGAATCAACATGATTTCAGGTGTCTCTGATACACAGACTTAATATGTTATGAGCACTAAAAGAAGGAACCAAGGATTCCAGTATTTAAATCAACGTTAGAGATATTTAAGGGAACATATTTTTTTTGCAACTATTTCACAATCTTAGATTTTCAGAGAGGATCACTTGAACCTCTCAGGTTGCTACACTTGGCATTTATGCAATTGTAACTTTAGTATTTACTTCTGCTTTACTGAAGTTACAAACTGATGACCCAAATAACCTTCAGGAGCTCCAAAACAATTTTATGTCAATGCATTGTAAAGTTTATAGATTGAACAAATTGAAAGTAGTTGAAGTGCTTTCTTCAGCTAACAAAAGATTACATGAACTGCAAAAACAGGCTGGGTTGTTTTTTGGGTGTTTGCTTGTTTGTTTCTTTTTGTTTTGGTTTGGGTTTTTTCATAAAAAGAACTAGGTATCCTAGCAGAGTGAAGAGTTACAATGATGCAATTGTTAAGAACTGCTTGATATAGCTTAATAACTCATTTAGTAAACTGGGAGTACAAATGCCTTGTTCCTGCCTGTGTGGAGAAGGAAATTGAGTTCTTGGGAACATATTTTTAGGGAAGAGTAAGTGACATTCTTCTGAGGAAGAGAAAAAGGAATCTAAAATTCACTGGAATTACTCCACCGAGTGGTTAAAGAGCTCTGGCTTACTTGAGATGCTTCAGGAGAAGCAATGCATTCCACATGATAGGACTGCAGGCTCTCCAGACGGTCCCCAGTGAGAGCAGTTTGCCAGCAGACAGACAGGAAAATTATTCTGTGAACATGTTTACTTGGATGCTCCACAGTTAGACTCATACATGGGCAGTTTTCCTGATTCTATCTGAAGTTAGTCTCAGCCTTGGGTATGTACTGTGTGTGTTGGCTGCCTCTAACCTGCACCTTGGAGCACGGTCGCAGCACATTTCCATGCTCTGGGGCATTGGAGATCTAGGAAACTCCTGAGTGTTGACACCACGCTCTTCCTAGTTTAGCTCTTTATAATGCCACTGCCCCTTCTTTGTACTGCCTGGAAGCTGGCTTGATTTTCTGACTGTCTTACAAACATTTTGTTTTGTGGACCAAAGCAGCCTACTTCCATTTCTACTTGAACAAAATCACTCTTTTTTTAAATTTTTTTTCCCCCTTTCTCAGTGATCTGGACAGAGAAGAAAAATGGGATTCCAAAAGCGCTACCTCTATTTGTATTTGATAAACACATGTGTGCAGAGGCCCAGGTGGAATTTCCCAGTCAGTGCCTAGGAAATGAAAAGATAGGAAGGACTGGCTTTTCCTGATAAGATCTGCTTTGAGCATTAGAAGAGTGCCAATCCTGCCCTTCTCTTGTCATTGAGTGCACACTCACTGCAAGGCTGCTGAGCAGTGGGGAACAAAAGAAGAAAGCACAAGTCAAATAAAAACTGCAAGCTGTAAAATTTTATAATCTTGCTTTGACAATTCCAACTACTGCCATGGAGTCCCCAGTTTTAAAATACTTTAACAAAATACCTTAAATTATTAGAAAAATATGCTACAACTCACAGAAGCAAAATGTTTATGGACTGAACAACAACAAAGAGTTTCATTGCACAGGTAACAATGACTGGCCTATAACCAGTACCGAATTTTGGAAAAGCTGCATTATGTGCCTTATTTTGTCTCAGCAAAAGCTCCCTCCAGGGTGGAAAATAAGTAAAAATTATTTTTAGGAAGCATCCCATCCCACAGTCACAATTTTTGCAAAGAAAATTAGTGATGCCTTCAATAGCAAACGTCAAATGGTTCTGTAGCTTAGGCATGGAACTCAATACCAAAAAAGAGCAAAGGGATCATTCTAGTTTGCTTGTGCTATTGGAACACTAATTATTTAGACTTCTTTGTCAGTATTACTCCTGGTAAGATAACTTCTACAGGGGTATTTCTAAAGCTCCCACAAAAGCCAGTTACATTAGCTGCCAGAACAAACCCGACTGGACTATCTCAGCATTTTTGTTTGTTTACAAGATGAACAGCCACTGGGCTTCTGAAAAACCCATCCAAATGCTCTACGGGATACTGCAACTTACCTGAAATATCCTGTTCTATGGCTGAGATCTTCAGCGACTTGTCCAGCATGAAAAAACGGATATAAAGTTGTAGCTGGTAGAAGAGGCTGTAACCTCATTCCAAGTACAGCTCTGACAAGATAGTTAATGGTCACTGGAAACCAGAAATACTTCCCGTATTAAAAAAAGTTACATCAGAAGCACAAAATAATGATCTATGGTGACATGGTGTGTTGCTTAGACAAGAATTTGTGTACATTTATGTCTAGGCTCCTGCTCTCAAAATATATGAATGGTATAGCAACAACGACAGAAGTTCCCAAATACTGCAGGCACAATACAGGCAGCAATCCATTGCTGCCTCTCCAAAATAACCTGTGAATCTTTTTCTTTATAGGTCTTATTTTGTCTGTCTACTTTGTAGGTTCTTCCAGGTCTAAAGTTACAGATACCCTACATCTGACAATGCAGCAACCCAAAGAAAGAAGTGCCTATTAGGTTATGTCCCAACAGAACTGCTAAGAGGGAGCACACGTTGACAGAGTTGGCAATGTACTGGAAAAATCATTGTCTCTAAGAAATGGAGACTCTGGGAAAGAAGAGGGCCTGGTTAACAAAAGCAGGTGTTCACTGACCCAAGAGGCTTGGAAGACCTATACAGGATAGTTTCCTTCTTATGCCAGTGGGGGTTTGCTTTCCAAAGAGATTATCAAACGTGTCATTCAGCCCTCAGCAGTCAGCTGTATCATGTTGAGTTCCCACTCCCATGTAAACATGCAATCCACTTGAACATTGTAGCTGTGCTAAGGATCGCTTCTGATTCAAGACCAATCTGACATTTGCATCAGGTGGGCAAGAAGAGGTGGAAGAACAGGAAAGAAGGAGAAATACAGGCAGGAGTTACTAATTGCGCTACTTAAAATCCTCTCTGCGTTACAGATGTCCCATAAAGAACATTTCACTTTGTCTAAGGATTTATTTTGCACTTTGTGCTGGTTTGGTTTATGTAGCAATCTGCAAGCTTTCACATTTCTTCACTTCTGTTTTTAAAAAAATTCATCCATGGTTAGTTGGCAAAACTGGGCCTCATTTTTCAGTTCAATAAAATTTTGCGTTTGCTTTTTTTAGTTGCTGCTTAACAGGGTAAACCTGTTTGAGCTATAGGAATTCATGAAAGTCTTCTGAGAAATATAGTTTTAGGCATAAGTAAAATCCACTTGGGTAGAAGGTTTCTGTATGGGGCTGTTGGGGTACTGGATGTAATGAAAGCTTGTTGAAATCAGTGGGAACTTGAAGTATTTTGCAGTTGGGAAATTTAGGTTCATAAAAGGTAAATTAAAAGAAATATTTGCATCAGTTTTTAGGCTTTACAGAGATAAAAGTAATTTTATTAGACCACCCCATATAACTGGAAAGAATGGACACATTTTGGAGCCTGTGAATCCTTTTTTTGGAATTTTATGTAATATTTCCGCAATCCCTCGCATGGAACTGACAAACACCGTAAAAATGATGCTTTGCTATCTGTAACATTTCAACATCAATCTGAAGGTTTTACAATACTCTTTGAGTAAATGTTATTTTTTAAAAAAATATAATAAAGATTGATTGTTTAAAAGACAATGAGTAAGGGACTCCAGATAAGTATAGAAAAATACCCCAAAACTGATTGTGTATAAGTACCATTTTGTTTAACCCATGTGATATTTTTTGTGCACAAGTAGGCAGATCTATGGTTTTACTATATGCTGGTTTGCACATAAAAAGATTCACTTAACAATCCATAAAAACTTAATAAAATTTTTATGACCATAATATTGAGATGACCTTTGTGCCTCATAAGCTAATCACAATCTGGTATCCTTGGAAGTGCATTCATCAGAAGATTCAGGGCTTAGATTTTGGCTTCTCATAAATGCTGTGACTTGTCAAACTTAACAGTATCAGTGTTATCAGTTCTAGTTCCCATTGTGACTAGAATGAGCAACCACTGAAATCCTGAGGGCAGGTCACACCAAATCCATGCAAATTAAAGCTAAACAGTTGATGCCCAAGTGAAGCTTTTCTTTAAAATGTCAGAGCCCAGCATCTATTTTTAAGAGATTAGAGAGGATAAAGAAATATATTTGCATCCCCTTCCAATCTGGCCTGATCTTCATGTCTCTATGTAGATGTTTCCAGCACTTCAGTAAGGACGGAGTTTGAATTGGCAGTATTCTACTGAAACTATTTTAAATTCCATAAAACTGTTTCCTTTAATTTTTTTTAGGCCTCAGTTTGAGTGTGAGATACCAGACAGCTCAAAGATTAGCAAGTAAAAAAAAAAAAAAAAAAGTTTTTTTTTTCTCTCAATCAGTTAATGAATTTCTAAGTAATTTTAAAAGTAAGCTAATTAAATACCAGAAAAGTAGTGCTGAATACACGTTTGGGCATAGCCTCCAACTGATAGGAGAAATAGAAACATTGTTCACAGCACTCCAGAATGCCCAAATAAGGAACAATATAATCTTAGAAGAGTCCTAGAGAATTAGATAAGGGATGTACTCAAACAAACAGGATGTAAACTATGCTCTGCATCCTCAAATAAGATGAAGAACGAACGTTACAGGTTTTGGTGGTGAAACACAATGACGCTGTGCCTGCTCAAGAACCGAAGTCAAGACAACGCAGACGACCTGGCAGGACCAAACAAGGACTTCCAATGGGGGTGTGACTATGTAAAGCAAACTAATGAGTATGTATTAAGCGAGAATATCTAATGAATATGTGATGTGCAATAAAAAACCCTGTCTGTCTATCTGTCATTTGGCACGTTAGATTAGAGGAGCTATCCTCCGAACACCCAGCACACTGCTTTTTAATACCTACAGATTGGGTTTAAGAAGTTTGTTTCTGTTGCTTTTCGGTATCACTACTGCATTTGACAGACTTCAGAGCCAGCTGAATGCCCTTAAGCAAAGCAAAAAGTGACTGAATACATGATTTGACAAAACGTATCTAATCTATCATGTTATATTTTTGTCAGATGCTGCCTGTTGTCTCCTTTGCAATTCTGTTTTATTTCCTTCTCTTTTCCTCAATAACTTCCCCGCATGAGTCCTTCCATACCGATTGGAATTGTCTTAAGTTTCATGTGCTCCCTTTTGATATATTTATGCTATTCAACAGAACAATGTCCACATCCTCCTGTGCACTTAGGTCAGACTCCTAGTTTTATCTAGACAGATAAAATCAGTTATCTGTTCTACATTTGCAGCACTCCGTGAATCCAGGGGGAAGGGAGCGATCACGATGGCAAGCCGTGCTCCAAGTTCAGGCAAGGTCATCAGTATCTTTAAGTGCGCTCCTCCTATTCTGTATTTTCTGTATGCTCTGCCTGCCTCTTCGTCACAGCAGCGCTCCTGCTTTATCTGTAAGTGCTTATGGCTGCAGTGGCTTATCTTTATGGCAGGTCTGTAAATTGCCCAACTTTCACTACAGGCTCCCCCGTGACCATCAGCTCCCTTACTCCGCTGCCGGGGGGAGCGCAGTGGGGCGGCCACCCTGGAAAGGGACAGGCTGACACAGAAAATTCTTTTCTAAGGCGCGGTTCTGAATGCGAGGGCACACTCGGAGCTTATGAAAACTGCTTTAAAAAAATAAAATAATAAAAAAAGAGGCAACACCTTCCTCGTGAAAAAGCAGCGCTGAGAGGGTCGCGGGACGCCGGGCAGCCGGCGGGCAGGGCAGAGGGACGCGGAGGGGCGCGGAAGGGCGCGGAAGGGCGCGGAGGGGCGCGGAGTGCCGCCCTGCTCTCCTGCTCCCGCCCCTGCGGCTCCGCGTTCCGTCTCTCCCCGTCCCGTCCCCTCCGGGCCCGACCCCGACCCCGCCCGGCCGCCGGCCCGCCCCTCCTTCGCGGCGCTCGCTGCCACGCTCGGGGCGCGGAAGATGGAGGACTACGGGCGATTCTTGGCGCTATTGGCCTCCACGCTGCTGGTCGGCTTCGTGTCCGTCATCCTCTCCCTCGTTTGGGTCTTCCACTACCGCGAGGGGCTCAGCTGGGACGGCGGCCTGGGGGAGTTCAACTGGCATCCCGTCCTCCTCATCATGGGCTTCGTCTTCATCCAGGGCATCGGTGCGTCGGGGTCCCGGGTGCGGGGCTGGCACGGAGGGGTCCGGCGCTGCCGGGAGCGGGGCGGGGGCGGCCCGCGGGCGGTGGTGCTGACAGCGGGAGCGCTGCGGCCGGTCCCTGCTGCACGGACGGAGCGGTTCGGGGAAGCTAGCACTCCCCGAGAAGGCACAAAGAGTCCCTTGTAATAAGCCAAAACTGCTACGTATCGGTTTGGGCTTTTTTTTTTTTTTTTTTTTTTTTTTTTTTAATGCAGGCACTTGTTTACCCTGGCCTGGGATTGCCGCGCACTTTGAGTAATATTTGAGAGGTGTTTTCCTAGGCAGCCTGAACTTATGCGGGTTGAGAATCCAAATGCCAGAAATGCTGCCCTAGGAAAGTTTCTCTTTTGGCTCTCTCCCATGTCCCCAGAAGAGAAAGGAAAGTTCAATACCACAGAAGCTTGATCCAGGAATGGGGTTTGTGCCAGAGAAAATGTAGCACCATGAGCACCATTAAAATGCAGTTCTTCAGTCCAGACTTAGCATAAGTTATTTTGTAAAAGATATGTTTTAAATTAATTCTTAATTCTGTTGCCTAAATAACATTCAGTTATTATGATGCAGTGTTGCCATTTTGTTTTGTTTTGTTGTTTGTTGAGTGTATAAACATTTGACTTCATAGAGTTCAGCCTTGTTCTGACATTTAACTGTTTCCCATTACACTTAAAAAATGAACAGTATCCTTTTTCCCCTCCCACGCAATTAGTGCATTGAGTCTTCAGTGCAAGGGTTGTTCCTTGAGGCCAGCAGGAATACTGGAGTTGGAACTGTGTTTTGCTATTAATTTTATTATAAACTCAATGACACAAATCTTGCTAGTTTCAGTATAAGGAGAACTAAGTGAAACATTAGTAATGGGCCCAAGAAGGACAAATAAATACTGCACAGAATAGTGGAAATGCTCCCACAGTGTTACCACTGAGTTTTGGGGGGAGAGGATAGGGAAGATTTCACTGTTTTTAAGGAAGGAAGAACCTCTGGCAACTTACAGTATAAATGTAAGCTGGAGTATTTCTTTGTAATAGCACATTAACTCAAATTTTATCTAGACAAACTTAGAATTTAATTTTAATAACCTTATTTACATTTGCTTCATTGCTGAATGATAGATTGCATTCATCCAGCCAGAAAACTTGTCCAGCTTTCATTTCAGTTGTTTGTATCACATGTGTGCTCGCTTGCTCTCCAGCAGGAGCCCAAACAGTCAAGAGGGTGGAAGATGCCGAAGGCTGTCTAGTTCTGGTGGTGAAGGGAATGTTGTGATTTGAACATACATCGTAAATTTTTTTTTCCACTGGGAGTGTTCTCAGTTTTGTGGCTTCAAGTTACAAACTACTATTGAGCAATAAACAGTACTTTGAAGTTGTTTTACTTAATATTGCTCAATAGGAAGTGTAATTTCAGGCTATAAATAAGCAATGAAATTCACCTGTTGACTTCATTAATATATATTCCATACTACTTATTGTGCCTAATCTATTTTTTTTTTTATATAAGCATAGCATTTTTTAAGAAAATAGGGGGAGGATTTCCTGCAGCTTTTTCCAATGTATTTTATATTTTTTTCCCTTTGAAACTCAGTTTTTTCCCTGTGTCACAGAGAAAGGGTGTTGTCTCAAACCTGCTGTAGATAAGGATATATGTAAAGTAAATGGAGATTTACCATAGTTAAAAATCCCCACATATACAAAGAATTCACTTTGATCATTATTTGGGGAGGAAATCCTGTTACATAACATGAAAAACAAAGTTAGAGACTGAAGGAATATTGTAGTAAATCAGATAAAATATCAACAGATAAGATACCACTGTGAATCTGATTCAAATTTGATTGACAAAAGTCTGCCCCTGAATCCAAAGTAATTTGGAGGAGACTGGGAAATCAGATACCTCTTTGGGAACATACAAGAAACACAAGTCTTTAAGTAGTTAAAAGTAGGAGTATGTAAAAAAATCTCAGTTAAATTTTTGTGGAGGATTTTGAATAATAACAAAACCAATTGTTTCTTGAGTTTATTAGTCTATTCAAAGGATAGAAATGTTGTATTGTCTGTAGGAGGTAGAAGAGATGACTATAATATAATGTGCATACTGGGAAGTAGATATGGCCTAATAAAAGTGTTGTATATATCTTGTCAATCAAATGGAAAAGCTGTAGGCACGGTAATATTAAGATTTAATATTTGTGGATCAGCACCTATGGGTAAATGATACCTGACAAAACATTGTCAGTGCACAGTAATTGTCCACAAGATTTCCTAGACTTAAAGTGGGAAAAACAGAGGCAATAAAACAGTGTGCATATTAGTACAGCAACATTTTTGAAAATAATAAGAAAAAAACATGATGAAAAAATGAGTTTTAAGAAGAGCTTGAAGGAATAGTAGTGTGATAGAATGGGTTAAATAAGTAAATAAATTTACATGTGCAACTGTTGAACAGTGACTGCAGACTCAGGGCATGATCCAAAGGAATATTTGCATGATAGTTCATGTTTGGCCTGCAAATGATTAGTCCTCCTATAGGAATAATTAAGAAACCCATCAAGATATAATGTGATATAAATGGTTTTTGAGAATTTCCCATTACTCACCTTATAAAAGAATATTTTTTTTTTCTTACAGAGATGTGACAATCTCTGTTGCAAACTGAGGAGCAGGGTGGTGGCTTTTGGGGTGGTGGAAGAGTGAATAAAGAGTGAGTCAGAACAAGGAAGATGGGGTAGCCTGTCTCCCATCCTCAAAAGTTCAGTCTAGGATGCCTAGACTATCAAATCTCTTAACAGTACTAGAGATGCTGTACCTAGAGAAAGTTATTCACAGAGCTGCTTTACTATGTTCCCACTAAAAATTCTGTAACCGTGTATGTGCTTTTAACCCAGGCCTTAATTTTGAGATGAAATTACACATCACATCTGAGTAAGTTTTAAGAGCTTGTACTACTGAAAGACAAATCTTCCTTTTCTCCCCTTTGTTCCCCAGACTGTCTTGTTTCCTCTGGCAGGTCAGAAAAGCACTAGTTATGAGAAAAGCTGGAAAAAGCACACAGAAGAGGTGATGGGAAAATAAGACTGTGTCTTTTCACACTGATAAACAGTCAGATCTGCTCAAGTTGCAATGTGTAGCTTCACACACAGTCTTCACAGAAAGAGGATTATAACAAATTGTATTACCATGCATGTGCCCCAGGCTGTGGCACGTAACGTACTAATGCATGATATTGTTAACAAGTGTCCAGACCATTAGTCTGTATTCCTTGGTTTTCTATCATACTGTTTATGGGAAACAGCCCAGAGAATTCAAGGCCCAGATGGAGATCTGAGACTATGTGGACAAGGCACATGGACAAGGACTACGTGGACTGGTGAATTTGATAGTGATTTTTGAAGTTAAAACAACTAGATGAAAACAGAAAAATGTTATACAACAATTTTAGCCCAGACTTGTCTGTCTGAGATCAAAGACTGAAAAATAAGACTGAAAACCTATGCTCATGAAGTTTTCTTTAAGACATACAGAGTCCAGTACTCAGCTGCACTTTGAATAAATGATTGACAATACTGTGGGCCATATGGTAAGGAGGATTTACTGGGAATATCCTCATGGGATGTTGAGGCTTGTTTGAGGCCCTTTGACATATCTGCTTTATGAAATTAGAAATCGTTATCATCAGCACCAAGTTGATTTAATAATAGTCTAATGCAGGATATTATTGGCAGCTGGCTGAACGTGAGCCAGCAGTGTGCCCAGGTGGCCAAGGCAGCCAACAGAATGCTGGCCTATATCAGAAATAGAGTGACCAGCAGGACCAGGGCAGTGATTGTCCCCCTGTACTGGGCACTGGTGAGGCTGCACCTCAAGTGCTGTGTTCAGTTCTGGGCCCCTCGATTCAAGCCAGACATTGAGGTGCTGGAGTGAGTCCAGAGGAGGGCAGCAGAGCTGGTAAAGGGTCTGGAGCACAAGTCTGATGAGCAGTTGAGGGAGCTGGGGTCATTTAGCCTGGAGAAAAGGAGGCTCAGGGAGGACCTTATCATTCTCTACAACTACCTGAAAGGAGATAGTAGCTAGTGGGGATTGATCTTATCTCCCAAGAAACAAGAGAAAATGGCCAGTTGCACCAGTGCCATTCAGACTGGATACTTGGAAGAATTTCTTCACCGGAAGGTGATCAGGTATTAGAACAGGATGCCCAGTGAAGAGGTGGAATCACTGTCCCTGGAAATGTTCAAAGAATGTGCATATGTGGTGCTCAGGGATATGGTTTAGTGTGAACATGGCAGCGATAGGTTAATGGTTGAACTTGATGGTCTGAGAGGTCTTTTCCAACCCAATGATTCTATGATTCTAACATTACCATTTAACTTTTGGGGAACTGCTGGAAGTGATCATAAGCTTGGTGTGCTGAGTCATACTTACATAAGACAGTAAAACCTTCCTAGGAAGGTTTTACTTCCTGATTTTGTAGGATTTACTACTCTTGCTTTTTAAAGTAGGAAGCTGAGAACTGCCTAAGTGCTGAATACATTTAAATATTTTAAGGGACACTTTCATCCCAGTATTATATTTTCACACAGTATGTAAAAGCATACATTGATTTAAAATCAGATCACAGTCTGGAAATTTGACTCATGAACAGTGTTTTCTTTGTGAATTATTTAGTGCAGTATTGTATTTACTGGCATGCAACCAAGTAAAAAAAAGTGTAAACAGAACTTTGAAAATAATTAATTAATTATTATTGTTGTTCACCACTACATATAGAAAGAATATTCTATTTATAATCTATGCTTTTTGCCTAAAAAGCTAGGGTTACGGAGAAGTCATGAGTACTGAGTAAGGCACATGAGAATCACTTAAGAAAACTCCTAATCTTTGCATTGATAAGGTAATACTTTTCTATTTCTATGTTTGGAACAAGAAGCTTTTAAAAACCTGAATACATTATTATTCTTTTGTTTTAGTATATCTAATTATATGTAAAGATTTTAGTGTAATTCCATAAGCAGAAATCTTAAATGAGGATGTGATGAATCACTGAATGGAGCTTTTTGCTCAGCCAAGACATTATGGATGTGGGCATTATCTTTTATTGGTCAGGTTATTACTTGTCCTCATAAATATTTGACCCCTCTTACCTAAATATACTTATGTGCTGTCACACATCCAGAATTACTACCTGGTTTGTAATCAGAGGTACCTGGGGCTTCAGTGATCTAATCTGGCCTGTTTGCATCTGCTGTGGAAAGCACCTGGGTCATATGACAGGCAGGGGACAGTTGTGGCAGGGAAGGGGCAGTGGGGATCTTGAAGAAAACTTGGCAAGAAGCAGCTCTACGCTAAGTTATTCTTATGGACCATCTAGTGTTGGATCACTGGCTCCAACACTGGATTGCTGTTTTGTTCAGACTGGACTATCTGCTACAGTTATTAATGCAAGTATAGGCAAAAACCCCCTGCATTCATCTAACAGTGGTGGAAGAGTTGTATGTGCCAAATGCTTTTGTCTCTTATAAGTAAGGTTACGATTCCCTTACGCTGAAGAGCACTTTTCCATTTAAAGCAGACCTGTTAATATCAATAGACGTGCAAGAGACGGTCATATAAATATTCACATAATTCAAGAATCGCATTATCCAAAGTTGGCAAAGAGAATAAATATTAGAAAAATAATCTGACACACATTCTCAACAAGTGAGATTTTCTAAATAGAAGACTTGGGCTCTATTCCTCCAATTTGACTAGTAGGAGAAAAATCAAAATCCTATGCAGAATCCCTGTTAGATCAATTTAATGACTGAGGAAAAGATGGCACCAAGTTGTTTACTGGTTTGTGGGGTTTTTGTTGGTTTTTTTTTTAAAAACATGCTTAAATTTGGGATTTTTTAATTAGGAAAAAATCTCCCTAAAAGCTGTATTTAAGCCTCAGTTGTATATTCAGAATATGCTATGCTTTGTGTATGAGAAAAAGGCTTTTAATAGACTTTTATAGAGGACTAAAGGTTGGATTTTGCTGTAATTTACCATGGAACGATGTGAATTATATGTAATTATTAACATCTGAGAGAAGTTATAAGGCATAAAATCTTGTCTCTGTTCTTTCTTCAGCTATTATTGTGTACAGACTGCCCTGGACCTGGAAGTGCAGCAAACTCCTAATGAAGTTCATACATGCTGGATTAAATACCATAGCCATGATTCTTGCAATTGTTTCTATGGTAGCCGTGTTTGATTACCACAATGCCATGAACACTCCTAACATGTACAGTCTGCACAGCTGGATTGGGCTGACTGCTGTTATATTTTATTCTCTCCAGGTCAGAATCTAACTATTTATAAATGGGTTGTAACTTTGAGGAATGTTTTGAGTAATTTAGGCCCAATAGGCCCTTGCTAGTACACTGTAACTACTGGGATAGCCATTTGACACTCCGTGATTTGGCAAATTAGCATGTAAATGTGCAAATACTGGATCTTTGATTTTGATGAAAAATGCATTTTAAAGCATATTTTGTTTATTTGCTGGGATAGTGGCCATTTATTTATTATACAGTTACACAGTATTGTGTTTCTAAGCTCTCTTAACTTCTGAAGTTAAAGCAAGTTATTTGGTTTGTTGGAAGCACATTTAAATACAGTTAGAGCTTTTATTAAGGAAGTCTGAAATGAAGTAACTGCTTTGCTTTTTTTTCAGCTGTCATAATTTTAAGTAATCACTTCTTGGCCTCAAGACTTCTGTTTATCAGCAGAACAAGTGCTGCAGGCAGCAGTAGAGATCTGAATAAGCTATACTGGCTGATTTTCCTGAATCAGCAAAACTTTGGTAGATGTTTGTGGGCATGCTTTTAACTGCTCCTGTTGGCAGAGAATTAGCGTTATCATAATGTAAAATGAGCTAACTTAGTATGTTTTGCATTTGGCACATAAGAGGACCAGGCATGCCCTGATATTTACAGTACACATACAGATACGATGTTTCTGCATATACATTCTGAACTCCCTGTATTGTATTATTACACTAAAGAAATCTATTTTGTTCTTTCAAATGTTTTTTTTTGCCAAAACACTAAAAAGCAAAAAGACTGCATTATCTATGATCCAGCACAGAAAATCCTCAGCTGAGGGTTTTATCCTTTTATCCTGTTTCCTTTTATCCTTCACTGCTCAAGTAGGAGCTACAGGAAATAGTGTTGAAATAGTTTTTAACACTTAGAAAAAATAGAAAGCATATTGCAGTTGAATATATTCTCTCTAGCTGAAAAAGTTAATGAAATTAGTATGAATAAGAAGGAACAATGTTATAATATTGTCCTAATAATGCAGCTATTTCAGGGAAATCTGTGCTACCAGTACAGTATTGGCATTTTTTCTAATGGTTAAATAAAGAATTGTGAATAAGGTCTTTGTTCTACTTCTCATTTTATTACTATAAACATGGTCAATGGCACTTAATGCATTGCCTGTCTCATCAATAGATCTTTGGTGTTACTTCCTCCAAGCTGGGGTGTAAATCTCCAGTCAGAGACTGAGGTTTGTTAAGTGACTGAGCACTATTAAAAACAGTCATAAAGTAGTATCTCTGTTAATAGAGAAGACACCTGGCCTTTGCCAGGAATGGCATGTCAGTCATATGCTCACATACTCTGCCTCCAGGAACAATAGTGTAAATGTATTAATGTCAAATGTATGTTAACACAGTATGGCACACAGACGTAAATTTAAGAATAGGGCAGAAATTTAAAATGGAGACTGTGTCTTGGAAAACAATGTCTCTGGAATGAAGTACTCAAACACTATATGAACCTCAAAATGACTTCTCACAAAGCTGTGACTACAAGAAAAATATGGCACTAGCAAAACTAATATGAAATACTATGGAATAATTTTTTTTTAATATAAAAAGAATGACCAGAAAAAAAAATCTGGAAAAGTAACTTGAGAGTTGGGAAAACTTATCTTCCAGTGCAAGACTTAAAAAGCTCCAACTGTTTAGCATATCTAAGGAAGATTAAGAGATGACTTGATTACAGTGTATTAAAATGCTTTCCAGGGAGAAAGTATTGGGCTCCTTAATCCATCATGGAAAGACAAAATAAGGACTAAGACAGGAAGTTAAAGCAAGATGAAATACAAATTCATGCACTATTTCTAATTTAGCAGCAGGGCTGAGTAATGGTAGAACAAACTAAAGAAGGGATGCAACCTCAGTAGTCTGAGCAAGCCTATGACTGCAACCATGTGACACGATGGGTTATTTTCCATCACAAAATTAGTGCTAATGGGAGGACTAATCTCCTCTGAATAACTTGACACCACCCATACACATCTCTGTAAATGCTATCTGATTGATACATTGAGAGACCATTCCCCTTCTAAAGATATGTACTTTAATTTAACTAAAACTCTAACAAAGCAAAATTATTTAAGCCACCCAAGTCAGAAGGTTAGACTGCCTTCTGATCTTCATTTATGTATAGATCTGTAACAGGAGCAGAGAACAGGATCTGACGAGACTGTAAAAACGTAGCTACTCACACCTTTAATATATTACTGTACTAGTGACACTGAAAACTTGTATGTTTTCAGTACTTAGTTTGGTTGCAGTTTTAGTATTACCAATAAGTTTGGACACTGGTATTAAGTAGGATTATTTTTAAAATATTTGATGTCTGTTTCCTAAGTGCTAATCCAGAATTTTGCTTTGGTTTTGAATGGAAACACATTAAAAAATAGAAATGCCAATTCTTTTCAAATTTTTACCTGAAGACATCTGAGATTGGAATTTTTATGATTGTTTTTATTCTGCTTGAGAAGTGCTGCTTGTTTTCCTTATAACTTTAACTATAAATCTGTTTTGTGTTTAGCTCGTCTTGGGTTTTGCTGTCTTTCTGCTCCCTTTTGCTCCGGTTTATCTCCGAGCATTTCTCATGCCCATACACGTTTATTCGGGTCTCACCATCTTTGCGACAGTGATTGCAACCGCTCTCATGGGAATCACAGAAAAGCTTATATTTTCATTGTAAGTATTTTTTCCACTTGTTTTTAAAGTTGTTAATTGGAAACCATACTTCCGTATGCACAGAATAATACTGCGTGCCATCTAGTATTGGGACATTGTTTTGTTTTAAAAAGACTACCTAGCAGGAAACTACTGGGTTTAGACCATGATTGTCTTTAAAACAAACTTTTCTGACTTTTTCTTTCTTTTTCCCCTTTCAAAGGAGAGATCCTGCATACAGTGCATCCCCACCAGAAGCAATTTTGGCCAACTGTCTTGGTCTTTTGCTTGTCGTATTTGGTTCACTTGTTTTGTGGATGGCCAGCAGGCCCCACTGGAAGCGCCCCCTAGAAGAGAGCACTAAAGTCCTGCGGCCCACTGGAGGCACTCCTGAAGGCACAGAAGTGGAATCCACAATGACAAATAGGAGTGATGCAGATAAATCTGACCTGAGGATCAATACTGAAGCAGCCAGAAAACAAAACCTCAAATTGGATGAAGCAGGCCAAAGATCAACTATGTAAAGAAAATACACCGAATAAAAGTACTATTATACTGCCAAATCCTGCCCCTCCCCCTGGTGGGGTTCCTTCTAATAGTTATATTGATATAAAAATAGGTTGGGCGATTATTTTCACTATGGCTTGCTCAAAGAGACTCAAGTTTTCTGCATATGAGTTTAAATTCCAGTAAGTCCCAAACATATTATATTGGTTCATGCTCAGTCCTCCATTAAAAAATGAGAGCATGAATGACATCACCATAATGGGAAAAACACATAATTGGAAAATGTTTTCCATATAATTTCTTAATTTTGTGCTTATATCTCTTACAGCCATGAAAAATTAACAAGATTGAGACTAAATTTTGCTCTGAGTGATTTTGCAGGTTATGACTCAGTCATGAAGTATATCAGACAGAAGAATTTAGTTGTTCACACATCAATTTTCTGGTAATTTTCACTTACTTAGAGCTGTGATTTCTCTAGATGATTAATCCCCTCACCAGCTGCTGAGATCTATGGGATTTGAGGTCATTCAGCACTTTGAAGAGTTGCTCCATAAAAATGACTCCAATTTTAGTCTAAAATTTTTAATCCAAAACAAGAAATTAAAAGTTTGCTCGATAACTTCATAAAACATTACGTTTCCTTTACAAACTTGAGAGTTATTTTTTTTTAATCAGAACATATCTGTTGACTTTTTAACAAACTCTACCAAATATACTGTATACAGACAACATTTGGCTTTGCCTTATATAAAATCATTACTGAAATCTAAGGAAACGCAGAATGGAAATCGAAATGCGGAATCTGTCTTATTTGAAAAACTATAGAAACACACTTAGAAATAAGATATATCACTTAAACCAACTCTTCCTTTTATCCCAGAAGGTAGCATTTTACTATCTTTGTTTGATTGCACAGCTCTGTTGATTTATGGCACTAGACTAGAAATTAGGTTAGAAACCAGAAAAGACTACTATCAGTCTGTCAGAAAAAAAGGAGCCTGAAGAAGTTTTGAGAAGTTTTGCTTTCTCAAAGAAACAGCTGAGCTTTGCTGATTTGATTGAAGTGTTACCTATTAACTGAAAGCCAATTTGGGCATCTCCACACTGACACAATCATCATTGTCACAGGTATGAAGACATGCTTTAATCTATAAGCAAACTATCTAAACTCTATGACTTTTTAATTTGAAATTAAAGTGTTAAATAATACAGCTTGAGTCTCTACTGGCACTTTACTTTTATAGCTCTTTCTAATAATTGAAGTATTAATGTATTATAATCATTCAATAATTTCACAGATATGAACAATATTTATATTTTTACTACCATGAAAGAATAGGTATAGTAGATTATTTTGACTGCACATATCAAAATGATAAACCTTTCTCTGATAATCTCTCGTAAAAGCTGCAGAGCCCACTACAAGTCCAAATTTACCACTGTTCATATTGGAATATAGACAGTTTCAGACAGCATATAATTTCCTAATTTTTTAAATACTACATAAATTTTTATCTACTTCAGGTTTTAAAAATGTTTAAACACATTAAACTTCAACAAATATGCCATTTTTGCAGTTCAGTGTTGTGTTAGTACAAACTATTTTGGACATGAGTTATTTTGGATCTTCTCTGACAAAAAGCAGTTCAGACAAAAATCAAAAAGTTTGATTTATAGTAACATTTAATTATTTGGTGAATGCAGGAGAGAAAGCCAACATCACAAAATATTTTAAAAGCTTTTCTGCTGTACCATTTGGTACTCAAGGACTACATCCCAAAATTTTATATTTACACTTACATGTTTGTGGATGACTGGGACCAACCTAGCATTGGTGTATTTTTTCACTGGGGAAAATACCTGCTTTTAAATGCCTTACTGTAGAATTCAGGTATGACAGAAGAAATACTAAACTACTGTGTGAGCACTCTTTCAGTCCCACTATGTGCAGTGAGTCAAACAGTGAAGTGTGACAGGGGAAGTGAATAAATGAACCTGCCTGTCGCAGTAATTTACTGTGCAGCTTTGTATGCTGCACTCATCCAGGCAACAGCATTGTAACTTGTGTGTCAGCCTGTTACTGTGTCTCACCCACCTGGGAAAATGAGCTTATTCAATCCTTGCACAGTACTTAGTCATCTAATGAAAGCGTACGTTTGTATGGAAGGTAGTCAATTGCCTAAGGATTGTTCTGGAAGAAATGATCTGTACAGTGTACTAGGAAAAGCCCCACAAAATCCATGACTTCTTTTGTTACAGCACTGCCTTGGATGTATTGAAATGAACAGCTTTTAGGTGATTGGTTCTCTCTGGTGTTAAACTTAAGCCATAGTAACCACTATGCCTTCTGATTTACATTTCATCCCATGTACTGTTCAAGGGGAAGGACACCTGAAAAAAGAATGGTGGCATTTCTTTATGTCCCAGTTTAAATGGGACAAGGGTCTTTTGCTGAGGATGAATTAGGAGGAAAAGACCCAAACTTCTTTTTCTAAGCAATTATAAATCCGAAATTAAGAGGCTCCGATTGAAGGAAAACAAGTTATGGAAAAGGGAAAACAAAAAAATAACAGCCCTTTATTAAAAGGTATGTGTGTATTAACAGGAACACGAAAAAACTAAGTAAAACAACCAAGCAATACTCCTATACCCACCAATAATCCCCTTCAAGAACAAAACCGATGAACCGGCAAAAGGAAAATTTAAATAGTTCAATTTTTAGCACCCTTTGGTGCAGTTCCAGCCACAGTCAGCAGGGGGCGCCGTTGGGTCACTGGAGATGCAAAATTTGTAATGTCCTGTACCATTCACCAGGTAGTGTTGTTGAGTTACTGAAGGTGCAGAACTTGTAGTGTCCTATTGTAGTCACCAGGTGGCGATGTTGGATCACTGGGGGAGTAGAACTTGTAATGTCCAGTGCCCGTCACCAGGCGGCGCTGTGAGACCCTTGGCTGCCGCCAGGTGGGGGGGAGGGGGGGGAAGAAGGGGAAGGAAAAAACAACAGCAATAAACCAGAAAGTTCTCCCAATGGATGAAAACTCACAAACTTCAGCTGATTAGGGTCCGTTGTAAGCAGGGCCTGCAGCCAGCCACAGTTGAGCCGAGAGCAGCAGCAAAAACTCCCCTCCGACAGGAAAGAGACAAAGAAACCCGGCAGTGTCTGCAGCCCGCAGCAGGCTCCCCTCAGGGTAGAGAGACTGAGCTCTCCACCCAGCCTCCATCCCCTTCCAGTCACACACCAGCCAACTTCCCCCCTTCGTTGTCAAGGAGACTAATCTCGGCCATTAGTGGTCAGGCCGATTCTTTTGTTCACCTGATGGCTCATCCACAGAGCACACACGCAGGGGGAAGGGAAAGAAAAATTCCTTGCTGAAATCAGAACTATGACACTTGACCTCTCTATTCTGATGATATAAAACTAATTGAAAATTGAGGATTAGCAACCTTTTGAGGGGAGCTTGTTTTTCCACTTAGAGGTTAAGCACAATAGTAGAAACTCAGTGGAAGCTGAAAGATTCCATTTGTGGAAATCATGATAATCAGTCATATCTCATGTGCATGAACTGTGGGCTTCTGGCTACTGGTCTGTGGAAAGTCCCCACGAGATGCAGGAGCTGTGAGCTCCTAAACCTTCATCCACCTTTAGTTTAAGACTGACCAAACATACTTCTGGCTTCATTCTAAACTGATTAAAAAGGTCTTTACGTATCCTTGCAAAATACAAGATTAGTTCAACTGCTAAATTAAAATACATAGGGCTTTGGAGAGTAATAGTTCTAAATCTGCTTCTCAAAGTGGCCTTCCATTAACTTTCTTTCATGTAACATTTCTTGCCTGTATTTATGAGTAACAGTAGCAACATAAGAAATAAAGTGTATTTTCAAATATATAAAAGGAAGCTTTTTTATCAGGATTTTTCTGCATGTTTAGAAGTCTTCTACATTGTTGTTTTTACACAGAAGTGATTGTAGAGCTTATACTCCAAGCTTGGATTCCTATAAAAACATAGGAAGTTACAAAACCTAACATTCAAAGTGTATCTTTTTAAGATACCTGAAAAAAAAAAAATTATTGTATTTACATGCTGTCATGCAGTACTACGCACAGAGGCAGAACAGTGGTTTTTATAACATTAATGAAACTGAGAAATGATGACGCAAATTAGATTTTAAAACTGAATGTACAGTAATTACATGTATGCTGTTACTACATGTAACCAAGAATATCGCATGTTATATTGTAAATATGGATTATTTGTTTACATGGATATTTTATTGAGGGACTAAGAGATATTGCCAAATATTTTCTATTTCAGATATCTTTCTCTTGCTTTTATTTCAGAAAATTCCTTCCTCTGTTTCTAACTGTTCACAAGAACTTAAAAAAATATTTTATTGTTTTGTTACCCAAGATACTTATTTGTAGATGAAAGCAAATGTTTAATTACAATGTCTATTTTCCTTATTCTTTTTTGTGTGTAATAAAAATTCAAGCTTAATTCAAGCAAAATTTCAAGCTTATAGTACTGGGTACAGATTTTTATTAAGGCACTAAAATACAACTTCCTAAATTTGGAAAAAGATCAAATTATTCCTAAACTACTTTTTGAAAACAGAACAATTGTTGTACAAAGTTTCTTAAATACTTCTTAATTTCAAGTATTTATGATGATCTTTCTGATGAAATTTATGTACTCTGTAGTGTTAGAAAGATAATCAGTATATAATGGAAAGTGAAGGAATTCACTGTATAAACAATCTGTATTTCACCTTCTGATCAGAATACAAATTCCTCATAGCAGTTGTTAGAGGGGGGAAAAACCAAACCAAACCTATCCTCAGTCATGACACTGCCATAGCAAATAGGGGTATATATCATGAATTCTCATATATGATGGTCACATAATGCACTGTAACATCCAAATACCTTCAGATAAGTAACAGCCAGACTAAACACAGATCCCATGGAATCTTCTGACCCAATTCAACAGCTGCACATCAAGTTACTCATAAGTAGGTTATTGATCATAAAATGGTTAAAACATCTATATGAACATATCTGTAACAAGTAAGAATTAAGGTATGTTCTTGAGCTTAGTAAGATTAATTGGAAACTCTTCTAAAAGTGAAAAGCATAAACTGAATATTCCTGAATACCACACAGGTGTTGGTGAATACTTTCTGACATTGCCATCATCATGGAATAGTAGAAAATACTATTACAAACATCAGTTGAAAACCTGCTGCATTCAAACCTGTCAATTCTGCTGCTGACAACTACCCTTAACTGTCACCTGTAGGCTGGATGTGTTGGGAAGAATTCTGGTAAAATAGTCCATGTTTTTTAAATACATTGATTACTACAAAATTCAAAAAAGCTCAATTGTATTTAAAATCGAAAGAGGGGACTCAAATTTTGGCAGCAGGGCTGCATTTGTGTGGAGAAGTGGGTTTTGTAAGTAGCTGATAGACCCTTTAACCTACATATAGATTTTTGCATTGTGTTACGGTGTGAGTAACACTTTTGATCTCTGTAAGACTACTGGGCAGTAGTGAAAGGTAAATTATTACACAGGTAGAAACTCAAGTCCAGGTCAACAAAATGGATGACAACCATTCCAAGCAATTTGGCTAACAGAAGAGGTAAAGTTGAGAAAATCCAGTTCCTACTGGACACATACCAGAAATCTAAAAAATGACAAGGTCACACCGCACTCTGGCAGGAGAAGTAGAAACAACTGGTATAAATTTCAGTGAGCTCACTTATGTTCACCAACTACAGTCGTAACAGAGTGTTAGCTTGGGGCTTGAGTTTACAGTTGAGTCCATGGCCACATATACTGACTACTCACTGGGTCTCAAATTCCAATTGCTTGTCATCAAGTCACGCCATAGCTATAGATAGAGCTATCAGAAAATGGATATTAGTTATGGAGATGTTTGCAATTTCTATTTCAATTTTCACTAGCATTTCATTCCAATAACAACAGCAACAAAAAAATCCACCTAGTAGTACCTAGTAGTACTCAAATTCTGCAGGATACTATTAAATAGTGTGATTAATAGTGTGATTTTCAAATATTTTGGTAGCAGCTGATCCTTCTCCTATGTGTATAAAAGCAGTAATCCACTAGGTGGCAAGCACTACCAAAACGGCCCTTGGTAGACGCAAGTCCAGCATTGCTTTAGATGACACAATACGATAAGTCATCTGCCTCAAAATAAAATTATGAAGTTAGTAGACATAAAACACACAGACGTGTCAGAATTTATGTATTTACTTTTCTATTCTTTTAAGGGGCCCACTTAAAATACAGTATTTCTTCATCCCTGATGTTGAAAATTGTACTCTATTGTGCTCCACCCCAGAGCTCCTAAACTCCTGTTTGTAACTTCTGTGCAAATACAAGCTTGGTCAAAAGACTCAACAAAGAGAATATAAAAGATTAGGAATAAGCTCATATACAAGATATGAAAGTTGCAAGAATTAGAAAAAAATCAGGAACATCCAGTACTTTTGCCATTTGATCTTGCAGTCTCACATAAAATTTTATCCTGAAAAAGGGAACACTAATGCCCATTTCAAATAATGGAAAAGTACAATTCTGCCCTCTGATACATGCTGACAGCTTCTGCTCTTAATTTATTCCCTTTGTGGATGCTGACTTGTTTTCTGATATATTCCACTGAATATATTAGTTTCAGTACTACTGAGAGCTATTTTGCACATGGTATGCTAGTGCTATCACTTGATCTTACTTGCTTACCTGTTCTCTCAGGCTACACTGGAAGATATTTTGTCTCCTATAGCTAACTATGGCAGTGGTTTCATAGTGTTAAGGACAGTGGACTACTGAGGTACAGGGTTCTGTGGCTTTTCACAAAGCTTGCTATTCATGTTTAGGTCAACAAAGTGGCAAAACTCAGTGTAATTCTGATTCTCCAGGACATTACTCTCATTATTGCTATGACTATTGGATCTGGTAGAAATACTAGGTTAAAATATCCTAGTAATTCAGATTGAGTGCTTGATCTTTTTGTTAAAAACAGCAGTTGCTGTTGCAGTTAAGGATAGTTCATAGATCACTGTGGCAATGGAAGTACTAATACTGTCTAGCTCCAGTTTCTGAACAGATTTATACAACAGGATTAAAAATACAAGAAAATTTACATGTCTGTTCATTACTATGATTACTGCATCTGTAATGAGGAATTTGAACAAAAGTTCAGTAAGGCACAGCCTCCAGAAATCATTTTCATCTGTTCCAAATGCAAGACTGCCAATAGATATTAATTTATGTAATGTTAAAATTGTCAGGGTCCTGAACACACTAATGGGGCTTAACGGCCCTGATCAACCTCACCCGGTACCCTTACCCCACCATGCCTGCCCATAAATCCAGGGGTTCTAATTAAGCTCCATCTGGGTGTTTTGGGGTTTGCCTGTGATCCCTTGGACCTGGCTTCCTGACCTGACTTCTGCCTGACCCCATCACCAAGGACCTGCCCAGTGATCACAGGACTCTGACCCTCAGTGGGTTGGGTTACGACCTGTGGATTGACTTTCCAGCATGACTGTCAGCCTGCCTCAGCAGTTGAACCTGGTTGCCATTTCCATGCCTGCCCTGCTCCCAGCCAGCCCTCATTGCTCCCTCACAGCAATCTTGTTGCATATTCAGCCTGTACTCAGAAATGGAGTATTTGCTGTAGACGTGCAGTGTCTTCTCCATTTATAACTATTTCTTCTCTTCATATTGTTTTTTGGAAATACTGTGCTTAAAAAGCTTTAAAATTACATTGTAGTTATAATCTACAAATAATGGACGAGGTGCATGGAGTGAACAAAGATGTTTCCTGGACAGTTAGTCCATAAAGCTTTTTTTTCCCTTCATTTACAATGATAAGTAACAATACCATCACTTCACTGGTCTCCATACCTAGTAAGAGCAGCATCTGGAAATATACATTTCCATGTTGAAAAGTATGTTTAAAATCTGTAGCAATGTAAAATCACAGATAAATCTTGTCCTCACTTTATTGCACACCATAAGAAGTTGCAAGGGCCTTGCAAACCAGAACCGCAGTAGCTTTCAAAATGTACTGATAATTATACAGCTGGTGACTGGAAATAACAACTGGAGCCTGTTATCCATGTTATACATGGATTTGGCTGAACTCTTCTCGGCTACCAAGCAGTGGGACCCTGACAATGGCACTGCAAAAACCTGGGAAGAATTTGCCAGTGAATAACCATAAGCACCATTTGAGTTTGCATACAGACCTAAGCACTACCATCCTATCCTCAAATAAATCACATAAAATTCACAGGCAGAACAGGCACTCAGCCACTGGCACATCAACAGCTGTTCAAATCCCCCACAGTACTGTTACTTCACTTTGAAGAAAAGTATCTTTAAGTAAGAATTGTTCCCAGTGATTTTAGCTGACTTTAGAGACAGCAGAGTTCACTGTTATTCCAGTCTCTGACTGTACCTGTACTCCATTTGTACCTGCTTTTAATAAGAAGTCAAATATTCTGGCACAGAATCACAGAGAGTGCTGCTTTTGATTTCTTCCTCTGCAAGCCTACACCAGTCACTGGGGAGTCTTGTGTACTCTGAACCTCTTTCTTACTTTCAGTTGCTACTCAGGTTCTAACTATAGGAAGCTCTATCAAGGAACCTACATATGGTTGAGATCTCCACAGCGATGCCCAGGTCTTCTAAGTGAAGAGGTGACTACAATCCCGTGAGAGTTCAGACATTTCTTCACATTTCACGTTCTTTCACATTATTTTGTACTTACTAACATTATGCTTTCCAAGCTACTGAGTTACACGTGTTCCATTCACTAATTAATATTTCCTTCTTATTCCAAACTCCTTTCTCCACTGCTTCTAAGGACATTTTATTCCTATATTTGTATTCTCTGAACTTCTGCTTTAGCAAATGAAATCTTTGTATCTCTGGGTATGTTTTCTCTGGTTTATAACCCTAGTAACTAATCTCTCATTTTCAGGAGCACAACTCAGTTCAGTACGAGCAAGACAATTCCTCCTAATGCCTTAAAGGACTAATTCACTTGGAAGTGAAATCAGCTCTTGTAGAATGTAATAATTGGATAAAAAGATATTTTGTACATCAGTTCAATATGTACAAATTCAAATTATATTACAAACCACACTTTAGTTTTATTATGTTGTTGACATACTTATATGATAGTTATTTGTATTATACTTAATATGTTTATATGATAGTTGTTTGTCTTATACTTAGTCTTCCTTTGCCTATCGCTAAACATTTAAAACATCCCTAATCAAATTACTAATAATATTTTTTAACATTAAGAACTGTAATAATAAAGAATATCTTGGGGTTTTGCTCTAATATTTTGAATTTTCTATTAAAAATATTTTTGTTGCTTTAGA